GCGTAGGACTGGATGACTTCCCGTAAGCATTTAGAACGCGTTTTGAGCAGTTCTAAATCTCTAAACGCATCAAGCCGAGATGCCGTCTTGTCACGCTCTCGCTTAGACCAAGTTTTGATGAGGCTCGCCGAGCAAAAACCGTCTCTAAACTTTAAATCTAGCAGGGGGGGTCGACCCCCCTTTCCAAATCTCCAGACGACTCTAAACGCTCGCTTAGCCTCGGTTGAGGTCCGCGTATCAAACCTGCCATCAGCACCTGCTAAATTGAGCGATCCGCTCGCCATAAATGGAAAGCGACCTCATGGTCGTGACTTGCAGTCGTCGAGCGTTGGTCTGGCATTACGGATGGGACGAACGGTTCTATTTTGCCATTGCACCCTGGCAGCGAGTGTGACCAGGTACGCTGATGGCGTTTAGAACTGCGAAATCTAGAATTTTGGCTTACGGGAAGTCATCCACTGTATCATGTTATGAGACGCCGCTCGTATTCTCAGCTCCTCTCGTCTCGACGATCTGCGCAAGCGCTCAGGCCTGCGGTCACCGCAGCAGTCATAGGACTACGCATGCTGGTGATAAACTCGTACGTAGCATCAGCCATCTCTGGCCGTTTGTTTGCCGCGGATGCCTGCGGCGGGCTTTCTTGTAGGGTGGATACCTGGCATTGATCTTGCCAGTTCAGACGGCCGGTGAGCGCTCCCACACATCGGCTTGACCAGATGCCACGCCCGCTAGGCCAGAAAGGGCGCCCAAAATTGAACCTCGTCGGGGTACGTACGTTGGAACAGGTCCCGGTGGCCCGAACGCCCTGAGCGTCCGTCTCTCTGTATTAGTACTTACAACACCCCGGTGCTGCGCTTGTACGGTCCTGCTTCTGTGGACGACTCTGCCACTGAGGCCTGACCTAGCTACGCGTATCGCGACGTTGCCGCCATTTGAAGACCGAACCGACGCCCGTCGCCTGGCGCACGCGGGAGGATCACCCCTACCGCCTCTAGCGCCTCGAAATCCTCGCTTTCTAGGTTTTCCCGCGGCCGTGCTCTCCCTGGCAAACGCCTTCTCTATACACAAAGATGAGTCGCTCCTGCCCAACCAAAGTCGGGCGCTGGAAGCAGGTTTCCTCCGCAGGCCATCAGTCGCCCCGGATTTCCATTTCTCAGGACGTCGATAACAACGATCCACCCCGCGGGCGAATCGATCTTGCAATGCTGCACGAGCACATAGGGAGCAGCATTGTCCTAGTCTGACCAGCTTTCCCTGTGCACGGCGTGTATCCTTTACCCCCGGCGTTTCATAGCCTTTTTCGAGCTGTAACTCCATACTTACTGGTACGTTATCTCTTGGCCCCCAGGGGCTACAGGAAACCCCCGCCCGGGCCCACACCCGCTTGTGCTCATTCGATGTCCTCGCCGCGGGAGAATAGCGCGGCCCACGTCCGAGTCCACCCCCCTAAAATCCGCGTCTCGCCCGCTGGGACTAGGACGTCTCGAAGTCCCGTGTCCTCGGGTCTTCGTGCCAGCCTGAGGCGGTGCGACTCGGAATCAAATACTTGTGGACTAGTACTCGCTGAGTCCCCGATCTTAACGACGGCTGCGCTCTGCCTGACTCCGTGCGAACATGCCGGACCCTCGCGCCACCCTTACCTTGTCCATGGGGACGATATCGACCCGGACGCCTGGTGTGGCGGGACACGAGGAGACCTTAGGGTCCGTGAGGAGTGCCCCCGGAGGAGATCATAGCGCGGCGTCGTCTTTGGCACAGGGATGTATACGTCCCAGGACGGCACCCTGGAGCGGGCGGAACGCGGGCTTGCGGTATCCGACAATTGCGAAGCCAACCCGCCACCGTCAGATGACCTGCGTACAAGCTCTCTAGCTCCCGCAGACCGTGGTGTAACTCTTTGCCCCCCACCTGGTAGCTGTCGCCTTCGTTTCTCTGCTATCTTGCCCCCACTCGACGGGCTTTGCATCTCTAGCTGTTAGGGGAGACTGGAAATAGGCCTTCCTTGGTCTTTTCTCAGCGAGCTGTGTATGACACACGCTGTCAAGTGCTTCCCAGCTCCATACCCGGGTTGACGCCCCACGACGAGATAGTTCAGCATGGATCTTGCGTTGACGACTCTAGCGAGACATCCGGGACGACTACGAATGGCTCCTGCTTGGTCGCCAAGTTGCGAGCTGTCCACGGGCTGTGTCGTCAAGTCCTCTCCAGGCCTGTGTTAGCGCCCCACAACGAGATGAACCAGAACTACGAGCATGGACGTTCCCCTCTGCGTTGCGTCCCTGTATGATCAGTGCATGACAAACCGGTCATCGTCCCTTTTGGGGGCCAGCTGAATGTGTGAATTCTTCTTGACCGAGGGCACGGGGGTTCTACACATTCGCGCGACATCTCACCCTGGGCTCTACCGGATACGATGGGCCGCCGCTGAACGATGTACCCGCATCAGCCCTCGAGTCTGCATCAGCGAGAGATGCAGCATGGTACGTAACCCGCCGGCGTTTCTTCTCCGATTTTGCCAGTCGTGGACGCGTCTCCCGAGGGCTTGGGCTTCTTTGTACTCGGTGGTAGGAATTCCTTTTGGGTGTGGTGTCTTCTACACAATGGAGGGATGGCTCGCGCTCACGAGGGCTGGCTGTGAGGTTGCACGGGCGTACGCATTGCCTGAAGCATGGGGATCGTCGTCGCGTGTTATGGTTCCGACCCTGCTGTGGGCTCTTTCAGCGTTCTGTCCTCCGGCAGCCGGCATATATGCACCACGTATGCGGCGAGGCGCGTTATTGGAACGACACAGGTATCGCTTTCCAGTGCGGGACCGGACGGCGAGGCTGGGCGTCACTGTGAACATGGGGCGCCCACGTCGCGCGAGGGGGAGTCTAAGACCAACGCCGTTCACATTCCAGGGACATTGGTCGCGGTCGGTGTATGGGTATCCCTAACCCTGGGTTGCTTCGCTTCTGGTACCGGTTCTGCTAATCCTCCTTCGGTGATGTGAGCATACCAGCGCCTTCGCAGTACTGCTTCCCTAGAATTTGTTCGGGACTTTGATCAGGCGCCCACATACTCGGGTCAGCGCCTCTTACGGTGGAAGTGGCCATTGGGAGAAAGGGACGGCCTTTTTCCTTTCTTTTTCCTAAATCCACGGTACTTGTTGCGAGGGAGGTACCCTATGAAAAGAACGGCCTATCGCTCCTTTGTAGCATATTTGGCCTTCGCGATTCGATATTCTACTTCAGATTCTCTATCCAGCGGGAAGGTACGTCGACGACGATTTGTGTGGCTCACACAAACTCCCCTCTGCTCAGTGGTGTCTCCCGACCTACATACCACCGACGCAGCCGACCAGTACGTGAATCTCGTATCTGAACTGGCTCACTAAATCCTGGAAACCAACCGCACAACGGTGCCAGGCAGACAAGCCACTGCTAGCCCGAGTGGCGTCCGACCAGACGTTTATGGAATAAGGAAGTACAAAGAGCATATGGCGAACAACGTTAATGGGGCCGTCGCCACCTCCACCATTCCTTTGTCCGTCTATTGGTACCCCTGCCTTGAGTAGTGTATAAAAGTGGAGCTGGTGGTCGCTCCTTCTACATCCTGGATATCGCCTGACCTATACACAGACACTCATCTCATCATCACTCTCACTGGAAATAGATTTTCACCTAGACGAACGTCGGCTGTTGACAATATGCCGAGATCCAACAGCAACCTCGCACAAATAGTCGCTTTTGGGCATATCGTCCTCCGGAGCCCCATCCACTGGCTCCCAGCCGAACTACTCATCTACATCTGGCAGACGGCAATCGGAGACTTGCTTTCCATCAGCTACGACAATATGCTCCCTGTAAGGGTTGCCCAGGTGTGCAGGCGGTGGAGAGACGTCGCTCTGGCCGCGCCTGGCCTTTGGTCCAACATCTATGTCAATCCTTCATGGTGCAAATCTTCACCCCTCGCGCGCGTGAGCTTGTCATTGGCAAGGTCAAGCAAACACCCTCTCCGAATCGTATTCCACTATGACTTTCCTCGGCGGAACGACCCGAAGCATATGCTCACCGTCCTGACGCTGCTCGCGCGCGAAAGCCGGCGTTGGCAGACGTGTCATATACACATAACCTGGGAGACGGAGACGGACCATCGGATGATTTCACGGGCTCTCCAGCCAGCGCAGGCCCCGCAGCTCGTGCAGCTGGTGCTGCACGCCCAACGGAGGGGCGCCGGTTCTTCGCTGCGGCCCGCCTGGTTCCCTATGGGCTTGCCTGTGTTGACCGACTTCGGTTTAGCAAACGCCATGGACTTGCGTCCGTATCTGCACCTCCTGAGCGGGCTGACGTCCTTGAGCTTGGAGGTCAGCGACTATCAGACGCCTGCGACTGTGAGCCATCGCGACTTCCAAGCGGCCCTGGCCCGCTGCCCGCACCTCGTGCACCTCGAACTGCGCTTTGCCTGCGTGGCTTACGGCGACGTGGACACCGTGCCTTCTGCGTACGCCGTGATCCATCTTCCGAAGTTGCGCTCGCTCTTCCTCAGGATGCACGACGAGGATTGCCGCTTCGTCTCGGTGTTCTTTCGGCGTTTCTCGGCGCCGAGCTTGAAGGTTATAAAGATGGTCCATTGGTCGAGACATGCTTTCGATGTGTTCGTGTCCGCAGTTACAGACGACAACTCTTTCTTCCGGTGCCACAGCCTAGAGACCTTGTCCCTGGTCGATGTGGATTGTGGGTCGGATGATTCCTTCGGCCATGGCCTTGATGAAGATGGCAAAGTCGAGGTAGAGGGAGCTCCTATCCTGGAGCTCGAGGGTGACGAGCCTGAGGAGGCAGATGAAGAAGTCGTGGACGCAGCGAGTGTTCTTCAGAGTGAAGGACCCTCTGACTCGGACAGTTCGGCGACAGATGACGATAACGAAAGCGGCAGTCAGGCGAGTGAGAGTGAGGCAGGAGATGAACATGGGGCGGAGGACATCAAAAACAGCTTCCGTCGTTTCATTTCCCACTTCCCCTCGACAACGACGTTGATCGTCGGCGACAGCGGTCTACGCGAGCTGCTTGAAGGTATGAGTATGTTGTCAGAGGCCGGCGAAGTTGCGTGCCCCCGGCTTCGTACTCTGATCTGGTCGACAATCGTGCCAATGACGAGCTACACGCTGCCGTTGCAGCTGATAGGCGACTTCATCAGGAAGCGTGTCTCACTGGGGTTGCCGCTCGCGCAACTGCGAGTTCAGAAGTCCCATTTCTTGGAGCTTGGTGTACCACTGCGAGAGTGGGTTCAGACTCAAGTGGCAGTGGACCTATACGACAAATCTCAGGACTATGATCCTGACCCTCATCCCGAAGTCTAGCACCTGCGATTGGGTGATATCTGCAGTAGAAGGACCTTGTAAAGCACTGTATCAATGAAGTTACTTGAATGAAGTTGCTTGTTGTCAGAGTTGTTGCCAAATATACCTCGTACCCCCGAAGAAGCATCTCCGTTGACATGCGGCTGATGTACTCAACAGTCGAGACAGTCACATCAATGCAACGTGCAACTTGGCAGGCTTTGTATGTGGAAAGTAGGTCTGTACTTGCGAATGAAGACTGAAACGCACCATCCCGGAAACAGCAAAAACGATAGAATTTTAAGTACGTTGCCTTGCAAACTACTACCATCTCTTGAATTACGATAGCATCCAGGGTGTACGATGCACCCAACTCCTTGCACGCTTACCATAGATGTACATGGGGATTGTCATCACGCATACGAAAACGACTAAACCTCCGATTGTGCTGAAGCACTTGAGAACGCCTTATGACACGATAAGTGATGGAACATATAAGGGCTCTGCGTCACACATACCTTGACTGTTAAGCCAATCGATGATATAGTATGTCAAGCCGAAGACGAATATGTTCTTGGAAGCACTGAACAGAAGTGTCAAGGCCGAAACAACTTGGAGATGAGCGTAATATAGGACTCACTTGATAGTGGCGAAGCTTTCAGGGGCATAATGTGGATGCGCATCGACAACATACGATACAACGCTTCGGAAGGTACGGTATCAGAGAGAGTCATCGATACACGCAGAAATCGGCTTACGCAATTGAGCTAAGAGACAGGCCAAAACTGATGACGGAGTAGAAGAAGATGGGAGCGATCCATGGATCCAATAGATGTGCGCTAACCGCCCATCCAAACCACCCCATCACCTGAAAAAAGAAAGTCGGGATAATCAACACAAGCCTAAACCTAACGGGCAGGCTGCTCAATAGACTTCGTCCCGAAGTGCTTGTCGAGGACCTACTCAGGCTCGTATATGCCGCCGTTCCTGCGCGCCATCCATTTCACGCAGTAGTCGCTCAACGGTCCAGCCATGGCGTTCGCCAGGAGAGTCGCGATGAATGGCCCGACTCCGGACATCAAACCTACCGCACCCGCACCGAAATTGTAACCATACTCGGGGGTGGAGAATAACAATGAGATCGAGACAGATAATCCAACGACTGCGTGACTCAAGCATCAGTAGGGGAGTTGATGGTCCCTGACCGTTACTCACCCCATCCTTGAGTCGTGCCGTAGACCAGAGCACCCCACGCGACGCACGGGCTGCAAATGAGGATAAAAGGCCTTGTTGCAATCCTCCAGAATTTCTCCGAAGTATAGCGGCGGCCTTCGAAAAGCTTCAGGTAGCGCCAATATGAATATGGCTTCTCCTGCTCTACGATCTCGATGGTCCGGCTGCCGACTTCCACATCGACTTGCTTGTCCGACGCCTTCTCGTTCTGCGACGAGGACTCGGTATCTGTGGTCCCTGCAGGACTAGGATTTGATGGTGGCGCAAGAGTGTCCACTTCCGGGCGGACCCAAGCAGTCTCTGGCACGAACAGGATCGTCAATATAAGTAACAGACCGCACTAGAACCGAGAGCCGGGTTAGAAAACTGTCGGATATAACTCCTGGAGCGACATACGAGGCCACCTTCAATCCAGAAGCAGGCTCTCCAAGACCTACAACATCCTTTAATGCTCGGATCATAGACCGGTATAGAAGAAACCTACACGTCCTGGATCAAATAGCCGTTCACAATACTGACGCCATATATCCCAGCCAGTAAGGCAAACTGAAAGACGTTCGGTTACTGCGCGAAAGCCACTCCCGATAGATAGCCACCTACGCTCCAGAGTGCTATCCACGTTCCCCTCTCATGAACGAAGAAAATGTCACTGGGAATGACGGGATTAGCTTGGATAGAACCCGAGCGATGCAATTGCGTACGCACCCAATTGTGGCTTCTACCAAGCATTCTATAGGCGCCATTCCTGCCCCACCAACAACTCGAGCAGCAGTCAAGCTACCAACACTTTTGGCCAGAGCACTCCAGATGCAGCTAACGAGGAGCAGAACATTGCCGATAAGGAAGATAGGTCTCCGTCCCCATACCACACTGGCAGGTGCGGTCAGGAACAGTACTAGGCCGATAGCTAGGACGGTATCGCCAGTGATTTCAGATAATTGCGATACGTCCGTGTTCAGGTTCTCAGCAACTTGAACCAACCCGGCGCCGATAATGGGGCCAAAGGCTCCCACTATCCCAGCGCCGTAGGTAATAGTGAGCATGAGGGCCATTTTTCGCCATGTCGGCCAATTTAGTGGGTCATTGGGCGAGTCGGACGGCCTTTGAAACGGGTGCTCGCGTCATAACCAACAGGTGGATGGTGGAGGAACCTACTGGGGTACGAGGATAATGCCGTCTTTGCTCCGCTTCACGTCGGGCCTCGATGGATCTACAACCGGGGCGCCGTGCTTTTTGGCATGAAGGTCATCGAGCAAGCATGTGCCTGTCAGAGAGCGATAGTCAGGAGCAACACAAGACAACGCAATTTCGATTGATCGGTATTACCTGGAACGTCTTGGCCGAGATATTTGTCTTCGAGGACGCCTAAACCCATGGCTCAGACAGGCGATCGAAAAGCAGGGTTGTGCAGATGAACTAACGACTGAGAAGCAGACATGGCCCATCCCTTTAAGTCAGGGTATGTCTCCGACAGGCCTAACTAAACTTCGCGCGAATTTGATGGTCATGAGGACAAGGAGCTAACAGAAGCAGAGAAGTAACTCCAAGCGTCAGTCAGTGTGAAATATTGCTGGCAACCCTACTGGACAATACGAAATCTCTCATGCAGGTTGAGGTGAGATGAGAATCAACTGTTACCAACTGGGAGCCCAAGTGATTGGACCTGTGACTGCTTCGAGTTAGCCCTGATAATCGTTCATCCGAAGGACCGGGTAGGTTCACCTCTGTTCACCTCCGACCTCTTATAGTCCGTCTTTTCTTAGGGGATGTAGTCGCTTACACTTTCACCCTCTGCAGGCTCAGGTGCCCTCGGACCTGTCCGCATCTCCTTGCAGTTACCCCGCGTTCGTGACCCCGCACTGGTTGAGACGGCGGCAAATATGATTAACCTCACTATTATATGGTTCCAAACGGGTCGTGCCATGTCCAGTAACCGACATGTCGACTATGAACGGCGCAACCTCCCCCGATAACCATGGCAAGGGTTTCGCGCAGGTAGCGCCACCCAACTCGACCGGGATCAAGATCATCGTAGTAGGGGCGGGCTTCGCAGGTTTGGCGTGTGCCATCGAGAGTAAGAGGAAAGGACACGAAGTCGTTATCTTGGAGAAATTCAAGGAATTGAAGGCCTTAGGTGGGTTGCGATTTCGTAGCTTGAAGAGTCGAACCTAACTGCAACGCATAGGCGATGTATGTTGCTCGCCTTGATGCTTGATCAATTCCCGGCATTGACAGATTCTGCCATGATTGTAGATCATCTCCTTTGGCAACAACGCTGGACGTGTGTTCGAACGATGGGGACTCCATGATAAGTAAGTTCGGATCTTCTGAGAGCACGATGTCAACACTAAAAACTCTCCCCTTTCGATAGATTCTGGGCCGTGTGCAGTCACGTAGAGACGCTCATGATCCATAACTCACAGGGCGAATTGCTCCTTGAGCAGCCGAATCCGGATCCCCTCTTCGGCGCATATGCTTATAATGGGCACCGAGGAGAATTGCATACCATGCTGTTTGACTACGCGCAATCCCTAGGCATCGATATCCGTCTGGGTCAGGACGTGACCGAATACTGGGAAACAGATAACGAAGCAGGCGTAATCGCAAACAGCGAGAAAATCGCTGCGGACGTCGTCGTCGGCGCAGACGGTGTCCGGAGCAGAGCACGTACGCTCGTTCTGGTGCGTTAAAGCCGCAGTAAGGTACACGATAAGAAACAACTCACCAACAAACGTTTAGGGCTACGAAGACAAACCGAAGTCTTCTGGGTATGCCGTGTACCGTTCTTGGTTCGATTGCGCCGAACAAGGAGTGGACAAAGACCCGATGACCAGTTTCATATGTCAGGGAAAGGATCTGTTCTACGGCTGGATAGGTGAGAGTGCAAGCGCCGCGGGCAAGGATGACAGTTGACAATAAGCTCAGGAAAGGACGTCCATTTCCTCGCGCACTCTTCGAGCGGAGGGAAGAAGTTGTCAAATGTGATCACTCACAAGTATGTAATGTCTCCTTTGCAAAACATAGGATGTCAGGTTTACACGCTGGCTCTAGAGATGACGCAGACATTGCCGAGTCCTGGTCCTTCCCCGGGAAGATGGAAGATTGCCTGAAGATCGTGGAGGGATGGGACCCCCGTTGCGCTGCGCTGCTCTCGAAAGCGCCCTCCCTCGTTGACTGGAAATTAGTCTATCGTGACCCCATGCCCACTTGGATCAGCAAAGGCGCCCGCCTTGCACTTATCGGTGATGCGGCCCATCCTTTCCTCCCGTGAGTATTTACCGCCCTCTTGGTCCCTTCCCAAGCTCAAAGCACTCCTTGACCAGGACGAGCCAACAGGGCGCCTCGCAGGCAGTCGAGGACGGTGTGACCCTCGCGGTGGTTTTACAGCTCGCAGGAAAGGAGAACGTACATCTCGCCGTGCGCGAATGGGAGAAAATCCGGTATGCTCCATGCTCTTCAATCCAGAGTCGCCAGCACTGAATCCGAGTCGCACAGCTACCAGCGGGTCCGTCGAGCCCAGCTTATCGGTGAGAGCGTCCGCGACATGTGGCACAAAGCGAAGCCCGAGGACAGGGGCAATGCCGTGGCGCTCCCCAGGCCCGAGTGGTTACTTGGACACGATGCGGAGAAACATGCGTACGAGGTGTACGATGCTACCACGAAGGAGATCCAAGAGAAGGGCTATGAGCTGCCCACGCTCCCACCGGTCGTGCCTGTTGCTGGAGCATGATTCTAGTAGACGGGCAGAATGGAAATCTTGTAAGGTTATTTTTGTGTATAGATAGACTGGAGGTGCGGAGGTTGTAGGATCGTATTTACGCCTGGAACCTATTGGGCAAAGTAGCATTAGACATTTGAACGAAGAAATGCAGAGCCTACGGCTCAATAGACCACGATATCCCTGTGCTTCCGGGTCGCGATCGACCTCTCAACTATCGCGAGAATATCGGTGTGATCCAGGAAACTTGTCTGCGAGCGAGTCTGCATTCGCTACAGATCCAAAGAGAATGAGATATTATATGTCCAAGATATGTCTACAAGTGATACTGTCTCATCCATTTCATGGCACTGGATTCGATGGAGGATCATAGGCCGGTATTGAGATGTCCTTGTCCACCACGCCAAGAGCCTCGTATAGATAGATGAAGCCAAACAGAAGGAAGAGAAGGGCACCGCCAAGCGTGACTGTAAATAGTACGAGCGAGGGTTAATACAGTGCCTTGCATATGAAACAGATACGAACCATGCTTGACGGAGATTTTGGTCGAGACGTAGCGGCCACCAATGACAGCTAGCGCCGTACAACACGAATGACCAATGATCGTGCCGATTGTGACAAGGTAGACGTTCTACCAGCTATAAGTAAATTAGAACGCGAATGGGAAAGAGGCAAACATACATGAGCAGCTCCCAGAGCGATAGTAGCTATCTGACTTCGGTCCCCCCATTCACCCAGGAAGGTCAGCACAAAGGATTGCACAAACACGGGTCCCAGGAGGAAGCTGAAGAGGTTCCGTACCCCTTCCTTGATCGAGCTTGCTTTGCTAACACCTGAACCCAACGACGGTCGTCTCGCGTGTCCATTCGTACCATCATGCCTTTCCGGCCTTCCGCCTTCTTCAATCTCCTCCAGCGGTATCACCTCTCCATTCTGAGCGACTTTGCCAGTATGGTCCAGCTCCGCCTCTGCTGCCTCGATCTCCTCCTCTGCCTCCCGCATCTCCTCCTGTATCTTGTCGTTTCCGCCCTTCATCTCCCTCGCCTCCATCACCATCTTCGCACCGAATACGAAGAACAGGCCTGCTGCTGCTAGCTGCGTCCATGACTTCGGGATGAGGGCTGGGAGCAGGTGGCCGACCGCTGCGGACAGAATGGACATGACCACCAACGAGCCGAATGCCCCGCTGAAGACGACGAGTCTTGGGTGACGCATAGCGAGAATTGCGGCTATTAGGAACGTTTTGTCGCCAATTTCGGAGAATATGATCATGGCGAAAGATTGGACGAGGGCCTGCACGCTACCCTCTTCTTCGAGCTCATTGCTCGCCATTTCTGCATTCCCTCCAGTAAGAGCGCAGTGAATGTAGAGAGTTGGCTGACCTCGAGGCGTCAGAAAGCAGCGTGCGCCGTGCGCGCGTTGTGCGCTGTCGACGGGTGGACAACGGGTGCAAAGATGACATTCGGTTTCAAACTCCGGGTTACGCGGTCGTACAGGCGATATTCACCAGTGAAAATATTTGACGACGGCTCAATCCAAGACAAGTATGCGATGTTCATATTTCTAGAAACGCCAATCTATTGGCTCCCAAATGTCGACATTTGTCGACATACTACTAACGGAGAATAGGTAATTCGGTGGATCCTGACAATTGCCCAATATAGAGCGCAGGTTTCTATATTTGGTCGCCTGGACATATGTCGGACATGCTGTCTTGATACATGTAAATCGGCACTCCCTCTAAGATCTTATCCCTTCGAATTCCTTTGTGTCCTGCCCCTCCACGATGTGGCTTTCTCTTGTAGACACTGGATCCCTGATCCAATATTTGGGGTGCTTTTGAGCGAATGTCAAGGACGAAATGCAATCCTCCCAACAAAGCTGAGGACGCGCATTACGTAACGGGACCCCGCGCAGCGCGAAGCGTCACTCCGCAGGGCAGCGCGGGGTTGGCTCAGCGGGTTAGCCTATGCTTGGCCGTATATAGATAACAGTAGACACTGTAAGGAATATATAAAATTAAATATTTACACACAATATGTTCTTGTAGTGTAGATGGTAAGTGTCTTACCGAGATTGCAAAGCCCCAAGCTCGAGGCTGCGGGTTCGACTCCCCATCCGTTTGTTTCGGGCACTGTTGTTTTTTTCCGACAGATTGTCAAGATGTATGCATCACTTGTGAATAAAACTCCTTACTCTTGGGGCTTCAATTTATTTCATCATCACTTAAGATACTCCACACCATCCTGATATTATGCTGACAAGCCTGTACTTAGTGCAGGAGAAAACCTTTGATATCAGTGTTTCAAGAGTCACAGCCACCGCCTGCTGCAACCTCCCTTTTGTGATATGTATACATATCACATAAAATACTTTGTATACCTCCCTACCTACTCTACATATGTATATGCGTTGTTCTGGTGTCGAGACTCGACTTCAAATGGCCAGAGACCGTGAGAACACTGCGCAGACTTGCCGCACAGCCGTCTGTGCAGTCACTTCACGATGGCCTCGACCTTCCTTTTACGGGCCGCGCGTCCTCAACTTTGTTGGGAGGATTGCATTTACAGTCGACTCTGTCTTAACCCATAACGGGTCGTGGAACCCAAAAGTTATGGGTTTCTGCAGACTATGGGTTACCAGAACGTGTGGCATTGTGTGACTACCTAGTAAGCGTGACAGACAGCCTATCCGGTATAGGCCGTGACAACGTTCAGATACGGAATCTTGAGTCTGGTATGGGTTATCTTCTGAAATACAGTCGACTCTGTCTTAACCCATAACGGGTCGTGGAACCCAAAAGTTATGGGTTTCTGCAGACTATGGGTTACCAGAACGTGTGACATTATGTGACTACCTAGTACGCGTGACAGACAGCCTATCCGGTATAGGCCGGACGTCGTTTATGACACCGTTTAGATACGGAATCTTGAGTCTGGTATGGGTTATCTTCTGAAATACCACGAGAACCAAAAATTAAGGGTCCAGATGGTCCAGATTCTCGTGAGAAGGAGACCTGTACCTTCCTAATATAGGTTGTTTTATGGGTTATGACCCTTCAAAAAGCTATGGGTTATGGGATACGGCAGACTAATGGGTTTTTACTATCTACCATGTCGGTGGAAGCCAAAAACCTATGGGTTATTACAGGTTATGGGTTATGACAGGTATGGGTTAAGACAGAGTCGACTGTAGCAACCAGTCCCAAAGACAGGAATTACCGACCCGTCCGGATGGACGGATCAGCGATCCGACTCATATCATGAAGTCATCGCTGAACTCTTGATTCTTGCAGCCACCGCGAAGCGAACTCGCCCAATTTTCAAGTACGACGGTCACCATGCCCAAGGCGATACGCGTGCAGTCCAGCGGCACCGTTCGCAGCGAGGAGGGCGTGGAGGATCGTTCTCTGCGGAATGGCAGGTCGACGGAGACAAAGAAACTACGCCTGCAGACGGACGGACTTCACGACTCACATCCGACGAACGAGAAGCAAGGCGAAGGGGAAACGAAGACGTACGGGTTCCTGAAGCTTACAAGGTCCAAGGGAAAGGATGGCAAGACGAAGACTAGCGTAGCGTGGACTCTGCCATCCAACCTCACTTGGATTCAAAACAATTGGACATGGTCCAAGTGGAAGCCCGTTATTAGGAGCGCGCTAACAGCGTGGGTGTCAGTGCTACTGCTGATCATTCCAAGGACGGAACGATTGATGGGACAGGTGTGAAGGACTCTCTGTATTGTCGCGCGCTTTATTGACGCAAAATATTGGCTAGGCCAGTTTTCTGGTTGTGATAGGTGCGTTATGATGAAGGGACAATGCTATGATGTCTTACACTTACTTAGCTGGGTTCCTATCACCCCCGAGTGACCCGTTTATTGCGGTACTGGAACGAGAAACCATTCTCGTCTTCTTGGTTACGTTAGCTTGGGCGTAAGTGATCGCAATATATCAGATTTCTTTCCGATAATTTAGCCTGTATTAGATGGAATTGCCTGGGAGCGAAGCTCGCATCCTTAGCTAGAGATCACGTGGACTATTCAGTGCCTCTAGCAAGTATTTTTACAGGACAATATGTCGAAGCCGCTGTATGTTCTCTCAAACACGCTCCTAGTTTACCAGGATCCTAAATGTCGCTAGCCGACTGTCATTAGCGCAGTATTCCTTTTTGTAGGCAGTTATTTCTTTTTATTCACTAGGGCACGACAAGGTCCCGGCCCGTTTCTGTTTGGCACAGTCCTTGGATGTGTTGCTCTCGGTAGGCCTCCACATATCGTATCGTCCGAAATCTCATTCCTCTGGCCAGACATATCGTTTACGACGGGCAACCTGTTCCCTTATCCCTACTACCCGGTAAGTCCGGTTTATTTATCCTCAAAGCTATGGCTCGAACATTTTGGTAGATCGGGCAAGCCGTAGTAGTGCCAATAGCTTTGCACTCCGCCGTCGCCCTCGTCCTCTCCGTCCTGGTCTTCCCAAGCACTATTTCATCACAGTACACGGACCGGCTAATCGGTGTACTCCAACCTTTGGAGACAGCCATGGCAGAGCACCGCAAGTTACTTGCCACCCCTACATCTTCGCAATCGTTCTCGCCGGCTGCTATCAACGCGTCGGTGGCGAAGTCGGAAGCTGGATTGGTCCCACTTGCAGCCACGGCGCGACTCATGAAGCGGGACATTGTCTGGAGTCGCATAAGCCCCTCAGATCTGACAAGCCTGCACAACTGGGCGAGACGGATGGCCGTACGGGCCAATGGTTTGGGTGCCTACTTCACCCTCATCGATCCGCTAAGGGAAAGATTCCCTATCACGCCCCATCCGTCCCGACCTACTACCCCCGCGCTCTCACCGGTTCAGTCTCGAGCCGCGTCACGCACACCTTCGCGAGCTCCGTCCCCTGAACCTGGATCTAGGGAGGACGGGAATGATAGCGACGCAACGCCTGGAACGCCTGCGACGGAGACAGCACACTTTGATCAAGATTCCGATAGCCATCACCATACCGCAAGGCGGAGGCGGCCGACACGATCCAGGAATTCCGAGTCGGGACTGAGCCGGCATTCAGGACTGCATGTGCGGGCAACTTCGCCCCATGGACATCACCACTTGCATCACCTGCATCACCGGCTACATTTGCATCTATCACTGACGCCTGCGAGGGAACAGGCTGTCGGTGTCTTCGAATCGTTGCGATACATGGATATCGAGTCCCAACAGTTTTACCACCCTCTATCGGCGCGGTTCACCGCCCGTTCGACAGAGCTAGTTAGAGAAGGCTGCGACGAACTCTTGGAGAAATGCGGGGATGCACTGAAGGGGGCGTGTACTTGGCTCAGTCAGACGCGACGGCACCGGCTCAAATTCTGGAGAAGTACTCGCACCAAAGAGAAAGAACTAAAGGAAAAGGCAGAGGCGCTGGAGAGACTCCGGATGGAGCTCAGTGAGGCTTTAAAGAGATTTATGCAGGATAAAAGGTGAGGACACGCAATATTTTCCATGGCGGTGTATGCTGAGCTCCAAGCCAGGCTCTCTGTCCTCGAACCTTATCGTTCGGACTCTGACCCACAACGTCTAGCGGACGATGCACCTCCGCATCGCTTCTTATTCCACTGCTTCGTCTACGAGTACCATCTCATGCGCTTCGCTCAGCTGATTCTTGAATTGGTAAGGACAGACTAGAACACTGATCTGGCGGGGATCTCATACGAATGTTGCAGTATGACGAAATGGTTAAGATTGAGAAGAATAGGAAAAAGTTAAGAATCTGGTGGCCTGCCGTACCGTTGCGGAGTTACTTTGCTTGGTCTACCTGGGAGCCTGCAGAGAATCTTGAGAGAGACGACGATGAGAACCCAGGTGCGTTCGTCATAAGAGTAGCTCGACATGCGTATGGCTGACAATCGCAAACAGATGTCATACAGGGTATGCAACCGGAGTGGGTTCAAGACTTAGGCGAGCCAGTGCGACGTGATCCAGACGCCATGCCGCCGCGGAACATGTTTGAAGTAGTGGCGACGCAGCTATACCAAATTGCAGGAGCGCTTGGTCGCGGTAACTCGCTCTATGCATTTAAAGCCGGTGTGCTGACGGGTAAGTACTGTTGAACAAGCCTTATTCAATTTACTCAACGTGACGCCCTAGTTATCCTCAGTATACCAAGCTTCCTGGCGTCCACTGCAGCCTTCGCCTATGGTGAGTAATGCGTTATTTGAAATGTACACCACGATTGAAGTCGGGGCATAGCAAATAGATTCATATGGGGAGTGTAAGTGAATACCGCACATCTCCGGGCCCATGCTGATGACTTACTCTTGACCAGATTCATGGGTCAGCTTACTCTAGTACGCTTCCGTGGCGATACTACGTTCGGTTTGGTGGCGCGAATAATGAGTACTTTCCTGGGAGGCGTTGTGGGAACGGCGATGTGGTATGTAACACGACCTAGCCTTGGATATATGCTAGATTAACCATAATGTGCAGGTACATAGCCAGCGGCTCAGGCCACGGAAACTACTACGGCTTCGCTGCCGTGTGTGGCGTGTGCTTTCCGTTCTTCTTCTTCGCTCGCCTCTACTGGCCAGGCCCGCCTATGACAAACATTATTTTCTTCGTCACTATTGTATTGGTGAGTAATTGCAAGACTCCTAGATTTTCACAGCTGGAGAGCGGTGCTATAGGTGCTAGGATACTCTTGGCAAGATACACACTACCCTCAGCCTTCATCTCCGGGTGAGGGTTTCGGTGTTGCTTGGAGGCGATTTGTTCTGGTAGTATGCGGTGTCACTGCCGCCTTCATATTCTCGTTCCTGCCACCATCGAGCTCGCTTCGTGGCTATATGCGGCGAATATTAGGTCCGTTAGTTTATTCATGGAACCCCATGATGTTACTAACGCTTCGTTTCCGGCTAGCCACGACCGCGAGCGAAACAGGGGCTCTGTACTGTTCTATCATATCTTTTGGTAACACCCCAAAGGAGCTCCGGACAGACTACGAACGGCAAGAGATAATCCGTAGCCTTATTGCGATACGAGCCAAACTGAAACGGTCCATTGTACTGCGGGCCAATATTATATACGAGGTGAGTCGCACCGTGAATATGTTGACTCTATTAGATTGATAGCCGCCCTCTACAGTTTTCCCTCCGAGGCAAATGGCCTTCCAAACGATATCAGACCATTGTGGAAATTCAGCTGTGAGTAGCTATCCATGCTCACCCAAGGCATCGTCTGAGCGATACACAGGCAAATTGCCTATCTTCTCTCACATTTGATGTCGGTCGTCGAACAGCTAGAGCCTATATGGTGTCAAGCCTTTTTGCGGCGGACTCGCTTCCTGGATGCTGACTTCCTAGGGGCCGTCCTTGCGGTGATCAGTAGGTGACCGCATACACGGATGGAAAACCTTCGTAACTCCGCTCTTCCTTAGGTCTGATCTCCACGGCTCTCCGTACCGGTACACCTCTTCCCCAAATCACCCCATGCCCGCTAGTAGACCGCTTTATGGCTAATCATCATGGACTTAACGTCCTCATCGAAGAGGAGGACTACGTACTCGGTCTGCCCAAGACACTGACCATCGACACTCTTGCGAACGAACAGTACATGTGAGTGGCCCGTTGTATTCGCCCGTGGTCGGCCATTCACGTTTTGTGCCTATCTCCGTCGCCTGATCTCTCTCGTTGCCGACACGACGCTATGTTCAGGTTCTTCTGCGTCGCTGTCTCCACCTCGTACGGTATCATGACGAGGTTGGACCGCTTGATGGTGGCAACCAAGGAGATCGTCGGCGAACAGTACCACATTCATGGTGTGGGATTGAAGGGGATGAACACCAGGACAAATTCGGTCCGACCAGCCATGGACGTCTAACCTGCATGTCTGGAGTCTTCGGTGTATACCAGTGGGTAGGGGTTGCTGCTGTTCCTTCTAATCAATGGGATGGGATCTTGGTTGCTGGTAATACTCATGTTGTCTGTTGTCACGAATTTTGCATCGTTGTGCCTCACGCATATTGTATCGATATCGATATTTCATACGGGGCTACTTAGATCTTCATCACAACACAATGCATTATATGTCATTCTGATAGTAATTGTTTCTCAATGTCCGGGAAGTGTCTAGGCCGCGACAGATACCGCAGGAACAGGAGGTAGAGTCGGCAACTTGTATCCTGTCTCCAAAATATCTTTCGCCGCGCCCTCATACGCCTCGTAAGCATGCTTCTCTGCGTCATGCCCGAGCAGCCACTCAGGCCTGGGAAGGGATACGGACTCCCCCTTCGCATCTGGCTTCGCTTTATGCCACATATCGCGATTTGTCTCACCGAGGACTTGGGCCATTCGGACACGCTGATACCTGTCCGAGGCGCATATATCTCAGTGATGGGAGATCTTGCGGATACGTAGCGGATGGTTATCTCACCGAATTTTCTCCCATGCTCTCACGGCTAAGGGGACGTTCTGTTTCCCTGCTAGTTGAAGGACCACGGCGAGGGTGATTCCGTCTTCGACTGCCTGGGAAGCTCCCTGGATACTCGTTCTAGATACGGCAGTAAGAATGGAACTGATCGTGTCAATGGATGTGATAAACCCACGGTAAGAAAGGATGGGCTGCGTCTCCGATGAGTGCAAGGCGGGCGCCCTTGCTGATCCATGTCGGCAGAGGGTCTCGGTACACCAGCTTCCAGTCTACCAGCGACGGCGCCTTGGACAGGAGAGCGGCACAGCGCGGGTCCCAACCTGCGACGATCTTCAGGCAGTCCTCCATCTTGCCAGGGAACGACCAGGACTCTTCTATGTCAGCCTCGTCTCTGGAGAACACGGGTCAATCTAGAGCGAGGCAAAAAAAAGCAGGGATCCGCCGACTTGTGTGTTATTACCGAGGACATCTTCCGCCCTCCGCCGGAGGTGTTCACGAGGAAGTGAACATCGGGACCTATTTGGTGAAGGTCAGGATCTTATACAGACGCCTATTGAGCCATCCTCACCGATCCAGCCGTGGAATGTGTCTCCGTTCTCGCACATAAACTTTGTGAGAGGGTCTTTATCTACGCCTTGCTCCTCGCAGTCAAACCAGGCCCTATATATCGCGTACCCAGACGACTTGGGCTTGTCCTCATATCCCTGATTCAATAACACATTATTATTTCAATTGGGCCCACGTGAAATGCCATCACCGACCAGGACAAGCTTCCGAGCGCGACTCCGCACCCCGTCAGCACCCACCACAGCGTCCGCAGAAATTCTCTCTCCATTGGAGATGACGCCCGCCTCGGAGTCCGTCTCCCAGTACTCGCTGACGTCCTGGCCCAAGCGGATCTCAATGCCGAGCGACTGCGCGTAGTCGAAGAGCATCGAGTGGAGGTCCCCCCGATGGCCGTTGTACGAGTACGCGCCGTAGAGGGGGTTCTCCATCTTCTGCTCGACAAGGATGTCGCCCTGCGAGTTGTGCAGGGTGAGCTTGTCTACGTGAGTGCACACCGGCCAGAATCTATTTCCAGCATGAGTGTAGGTGCGCATATGAGGCGAAATGCTGTTTACTTGTCATGCAAGCCCCAGCGTTCAAAGATGCGTCCGACATTGGATCCAAATGATATTATCTAGCGGGGTGGTCTCTCAATACCGGGACGACTGGTCATCCCAGCTATATATCGACGTACGTCTCCTACAGGTGGGTGCAGAACGACCGGTCAGGGGGGGTTTAAGGGGGCAGCGAGTGTCATTGAGAACTCACCAAGAACCTTCAGTTCTTCAAACTTCTCCAGTACCAGGACCTTATGTCCTTTCCTCTTACTTTCTATTGCACACGACAGGCCAGCAAAGCCAGCGCCGACAATGAGGATCGAGACGCCGCTCGAGTTGGGCGGGGCAATCTGTCCGAAACCGACGCCACTCTGGCTGGCAGAAGCTTGGGAAGTCATTTTGCTCAGGAGGAGGAGGGTGTACACTTCCCTCTGCCTCTTCTCAGCGAATTAATAGACCTGGATGGTTAAACATATCTGCCGCTGTCTGGAGTGCGGGGTCACGGACGCGGGGTAAATAGACAAATGCGGGGGTATGGATGGGATCGATTCGTACCGATCATGCTAACCACGGGAGGGGCTCAGGGAGAGGACTGATATCTGTGAACTCCCCTGGACTACGGGTGAATCATTGTCGCCTTCTTGGATTCCCAGTAAGAATGTAGTGTGCCGCCGGAGTGATATCGTTACAGTAATACTGGCGGCTCGGGACCGCTCGCACTATAAGGTCACTATTGTTAGATACGCTGTGTTCGACCGACTGTAGTATGCATGCGTCCGCCCGATGGTCAATAGAGGAGAAGATGCGTTCGGACCATACGAAATTATATCTTATAAGGGCGATATATTACAGTATCGAGAAAGAGCCTATGTAGCACAGGTTTGACGACGTATCCGGAATCCCTCGAGCTCCCTATTCCAAACAGACTTAGCGTACTCATCGTAAGCCGAGGAAGACATCACGGAGGATGGTAAGTCTTACTTTCTGAATCGACCACTAAACTGCATGTGCGCACTTCGCCGCCGTTCGAGAATGAATTCGCCACAAAAGAGTAGCCAGACAGTGCATGATCCGGTGGGCAGGTGACCCCTACGACACAGTTAAAGCTGGGCAACGCCGCTGTCGACGTCCATCCTGCGAATAATGCTCGGCCTGCAAGGACGACTGCAGTTGCTGCGCGGACGACCGTCTCGCGCGTCGTTGTTTCACACGTCCTCGACGGCCTGGGCCTCTCGCAAGGTCCTGCAAAAGTTCAAGCTAGCGGACATCGGCGAGGGCATAACGGAATGCGAGGTCATCAAATGGTGTGTTATATCAAGTTTCGCGCAACGTATGTTGAATCCGTAGTATATGATACGTTAGGAATGTCAAACCTCCGGGCGTCGTCCAAGCCTTCGACCAGCTCTGCGAGGTCCAGAGCGACAAGGCTAGCGTCGAGATCACTAGCCCGTTCGATGGTGTAGTTAAGGAGCTCCTCGTCCAAGAGGGGGAAGTGGCGAAGGTGGGCGAAGGCCTGTGCCTCATCGAGGTAGACGAGGATTCCCTGGATGAGAATGCGAAGAAGTTCACCGAGCCCGCCAGCCCGCCCCTTCACCAGGAACAGGAGGCAGTTCAAAGGAAAGCCTTCGAGACACGCTCTGAGCAGCCACCATCCGCCCCCACTCCCGCGCAAGAGCCCCATTCATCAAGGAAGCGGCGGCCACACCCTCTTGATCCCAACCATCCTCCTGATGCTTCAACCATACTCGAATCATTCTCAAAGAACGTGCTGGCGAAACCCGCGGTGCGTCACTTGGCCAGGGAATTGGGTGTGGACCTCAACAAGCTTGCACCCGGAAGTGGTCGGGATGGCAGGATCGAGAAGGAGGATCTGGAGAGGTATTTGGCTGGGGGGAGGAAGGAGGAGTCTACCACATCCACGGCCTCAGCGCACCAACCACAATCATCTGCTGATGTGGTTGTGGAATTGGGACGTACGAGGTACGGCATGTGGAAGGCCATGGAGAAGGTGCGTCTATGTGTGTACGGCATTCGCAGCATGCATCTCATCTCTCCCGCAGAGCCTGCAGATCCCTCATTTCGGGTGAGTAGTATGCGTGCTGTGTTGGAATTGCTCCTGATGTTCCATTTGCATAGTTACTCGACTACGCTAGATATCACGAATCTACACCACATACTCCCTCTCCTAAACACCTGCATACCACCACACTATCTCCCCGACCCACCTCCCTCTCCTTACCAGGCTATTAATCCCTCCGCGGTCCACCCCGCCCCTTCCCCGCCGCCCGTCCCCGCTTCTCGCCAATTCTCCAAACTCACCTATCTCCCCCTCTTCCTCAAAACCCTCTCAAAGGCCATGCACGAGTGGCCCCTCTTCCGCGCTTCCATCACCCCGCGCGCCGCAGGCGACACCGCCAAACCCACGCTCACCGTCCGCCCGTACGCCGACATCAGCGTCGCGCTCTCGACGCCGACAGGGCTCTACACGCCCACCATCCAGCGCGTGGACACGCACTCCGTCTTCTCGCTCGCCGCAGAGCTCAAGCACCTTTCGCACCTGGGCCGCCAGACGCCGTGCGGGCTCACGCCCGCGGAGATGCCGAGGCGCGGCGGCACGATCACGGTGTCGAACGTCGGGGCGATTGGCGCAGGTGACTTTGCGTCGCCGGTGCTGGTGCCGGGTGGTGGGGTGGCGATCGTTGCGCTGGGGAGGGCGAAGTGGGTTTGGGATGTGGATAGGGGCGATGGCAAGGGCGAGAGGAGGCTGAAGATTGGGGTGAGCTGGAGTGCGGATCATAGGGTGGTGGAAGGGGCAGAGCTTGCTGCGTTTGTTGAATGTTGGAGGGCATATGTCGAGATGCCCGAGAGACTCATCGGTGAGGCCGTATAAGATATTGGACAAGGACAATACTCTAGTACTGTAGCACGAATGACTGATGCAATTACATAACATCCTTTTACATTCGACGATCCGGTAAGTTGGATTATAGGTTGAGGGTAATACGACAACTGTTGAAGTGTCTGCTTTATGTTGATACAATAAAATAACCCAGCGTCCGCGCGCATGGTCCGTTTCTCCTACGCCATGGTTACGCAAGTCTTGCGCAATTAGCTCTTACCACCTTGTGATATCCGCCTCCGCCTCACCGAACAAACTTGTCTTTTTGATCTCAAAGCCCTCGACCGGCTGCGCCTCCTCCGCGTCCTCATACATCTCCGGGAACTCCCTCTTCAGCCACCTGAAGATATTCTCATTAATCTTTTCAAACTCGAGCAAAAACCCATCGTGGCCATCCGGGCTCGGTATCGTCACCAACTCCGCCTCGGGGATATGCTCCGCGATCTCCCGCTGCTCAGAGGGCGTGAACAGCCCATCTGTCTGAATTGAGATCACCAGGGCGCGCGGGGGCAGCGTCGCGAGCACCTCGGCAAGCGCTTGCGTCTCGTCCGGGTTCGCGGACCGCCCGCGCGCGATGTCGTGCGTGTCCATCTTGCGCGTGATGTGGATGTAGCAGTTCGCGTCGAAGCGCGAGGTGAATTTATCGCCTTGGTACCGCAGGTAGGACTGCGCTGAGAAGATGGGCTGGCGAGGGGTAGGCGAGGCTGCGGCGGAGCGATCGGGTGTAGAGGAGGATGTCTGAAGATCTGACGGGAGATGCCTGTGCTTCGCGCTTCTGTTCCCGTCGTTGTGCACGGCTACAGCTTCGTCCGCCGGCGTAACAGGCGAGCGCGGGGGCGTGATTATATCAGAGTCCGCGACCCTCTGAGGTTTCCTCCCGAAGCGACTCTCGAAGGAGTCCCGCGAGCGGTAGGTCAAGAGCGCTGCCATGCGTGCGGCGGCGAGACCTGAGGAGGGCTGGCTCTTGTAGTAGCCGTCCTCGTAGCCCGGGTCACTGTAAATGCTCTGACGCTGTGCTTCGCCCCAGCTGATGCACCAGGCGGAGTGACGAGCGGAGGTCGCGATGGGGCATATGCGGCGGACGTAGCCTGGAGGGGTGCAGAGCGGCCATTCGAGGACGGCCATACCTCCCATGGAGCCGCCTATTGCTACTGACACAGATCGTACACCTAAATGGTCAAGGACTATCTTGTGTAGGCTAGCCATGACGCTTTCAGTCGACCAAGTCGCAATGACAGGAGCTATAGATACTCACCGGACATCGTCCCTAATCGTCGTCAACGGAAACTCGGGCCCATATGGCTTCCCCGTGTCCGGGTTTATCGTGACCGGCGACGCAGAGCCGTACGGCGAGCCCATAACATTCGCGCAGAATATGAAGAAGCGATTGGGGTCAAACGCTTTCCCTCGTCCCATTAGCGGCCCCCACCTATGCGTATTCAGCACTGTCTCTCCGGCGACATGTGACAGACGCACCAATCCTCGACATCGGCGCTGCCGGTGAAGGCATGGCAAATGATCATGACATTGTCCCTGCTCTCGTTCAGCTTTCCCCATGTCTTATACGCAACGGGGACATCGCGTAATACCGTACCAGACTCGAGCGTGAAGGCGGGCACTGCGTGTATGTTTTGCTCTATGAGAACTGCAAATCTATTTGTTGTAGACATCGTGAGCCTGAAAATCAGACCTGGGGTTGTCGTTGTAGACGGAGAAGGGTTATATAGCAAAGGAATTTCGTGGTCAATTATGACAGGATATGACTCGTGCGGGTCATCCCTGTGCCGGAATTTCCTTTCCAAGACTTCAAGTTGGGACTTGTATTGAAACGTTCATGTCGCTGGCTCGACCACTGCCGCCTCAAGCAGATGTCCCCGCACAGCTACAGGATGCGGACAGTGTCGGCGCATACAATGTCTGCCTGCAGTTTGAGGAGTCCGCCTCGACCCAACAAGGCATAGAACGCATTATTTCTGGACGAATTTTAAGCTATCTGCTCCTCTATGCACCTTCGCAAGAGGTTGCGGATACAATTTATGCCTGCAGCCAAGATAACGAAGCTCTGCATGAGCTGGGTCAGGCCTTTCTCAACTTGTTCATACGCGCATGTGGGTACGCCGTTTCTCCGGCAGCGGCTTGTCCTCACCCACTGCCAGTTCGGAAACGTAGGGAAAAGACCCTTTTCAGCTCCGACAATTGCCAGTCACCCGTCCTTCAACCTGCAGCGGTTATTGTCGAAGGCCTCAGTGAACGAGACACCAAAGGCTCATAGCACCGCCAAGGCACAAGTTCTGTCCAAAGATATCTCTGTGTTTGGTTCGACACGCTCATACGCTCATACGCTCATCTTGTGTAGGCACTTATACGGGATGGCTACAGATGTCCTGTGACGGGAGCGTATGACACAGTGGCGCCGGATATGCTCGGTAATAAGTTCGCAAACTCTGGCGCCTGGCTCATCGATACGGAATGCGCTCACATCGCGCCGGAACCCATATATTTCAACGTAAATATTGACGGCTCCGACCAAGCTTCCAACAAAGTACGATAACGCATAATACTACGGGTACAAATTATTTGCTAATCCAGCCAACTTCAGAGAGATTATCCGGCATTAGTTCTAACGGCCCTCCCGCGTTTCGGCTACGACGTCGACAAATTGAGCGATCCGAAGGCTCACTCGCTCTATAATGTGATGACACTACAACACGACGTACACAACGGGTTTGAGGGGCTGCAACTTTGGTTCAAGGAAACAGTGAGTGCTCGGGAGCGTTAGCGGACCGTTTCGCTTTAACAAACGGATTTACCAGGACACTGCTAACTGTTATTCTGTCAAAGTGGCGAAGCCAGGTTTTGGTCACGGGACGAGGGAGCGGGTGATGTTCAGCACCCCTGACCCCGAGCGTCTCCCGCTCCCTTCTCCACAGCTCATGGTATTGCATGCGACCTGTGCGAAGGTCGCCAACCTTTCCGGCGCGGCTGAATGTCTTGACAAGCTGGATCGTGATTTGCAGACGATGAGTACACTGGCGGACGATGGAGGCTCGGCGGAAGTCTTGCATCATGCGATCGCCTCCCTCGCTGCAAGTGGTGTCAGCCTTGGCGCGTCCTTCTCCGCTGTTACGGCCTGGCCACGGATTAACCGTGTTTCGAACATCCGTCAACCTGAATCTAGGGACGTGAGCTCCTGTCGCTCCAACCCAACGCACCTTTTAGGGCACTGGTAGTGGAACGACAAGCTTGACATGCAGATAGGTCTGTGGGCATAACGTGGGCTACGTTGACCGTCTGTATAGAGAGCTCTCATTATAGCTAAAGGAGCAGCCTACACTGCTCAGATAGTCCTCGGACTCGTCCGTCCAGGATGACGAGCCGCGCTTTTGTGTGAGACCTGCATAGCCCTCTGGGTCTTCTATATCCCAAGTTTACTCAGAAGTGAAAATATCATTGAGGTATGCCTGCTGTCAGTCAGGCAGAATAGCAGATGACAGAGCATGATTCTGAGATTTCCTTCGGAAATCATACGATCACGTGTTCGCAACGCGCTGCAGTCGCGCGAAAGTTCGAACTCTAGCTCCCATCGTTTTCTTGGCCACCCGTTTTCACTCACGACCGTAATGAACGACATGATTGCGAGCAGAAATCTCTGGCTGGCCGCAGGGCTGTCCATCCCCATTATTCTCTCCATCCGGCGCAGCCTCAACCGTTTCCACCGCTCATCCAGTGTTCCCGAAAACTACGAACGGGTCCTCGTCCTCGGCGCGTCCAGCGGGATTGGCAGGGCCATTGCACACATATATGCGTCAAGAGGAGCTAGGGTTTGCGTAGTGGCGCGACGCGAGGCAGAGCTGGAGACGGTTGCTGAGGAGTGCAGGGCATTGTCGACCACGGCGGGACATGGGGAGTATCAGGCTGGAGGCAAGAGGGTGATCCATGTGGTTGCAGATTTTGCAGAGGTAGATGATATGGTAAAGGTACGGACAGCTTTGGAAACTGGTGCGTTGGAGCTCTTCGAGCAAACCGAGCTGGTGTCATTGAATACCGTGGAACGTAGAATGGAGAGGGCTCGATACCCTGATTGTTGCTGCGGGAGTTTCGGCACTGAAACCGTTATTGGAAGTTGCTGGGGTAGAGAAGAAGGGGAAGACCTTTACGCCTCCGGCAGCCGATGAAGTAGGACTTCAGAAGACCGTCGAAGTCACCGCAGCAGCCATGAAGGGCAACTACATCGGCCCACTAGTAGCAGCCGTATCCCTGGTACGTCTATCTGTCATCCAATTCCGTCTTTCATCCATAAATGCTTCTCGTAGATTCCTCTACTCTCAACAACATCTCCCTCGCCCTCAATCCTCCTGCTTTCCTCCCTCGCATCCGTTATCCCCGCACCCACACGCACCCTGTACGGCTCTACCAAATCCGCCTCCCTCATGCTCTACCAATCCCTCTCCATCGAACACCCCTCAATCCACTTCTCCTTCGTCCTGCCCTCCACCGTCGAGGGCAATTTCCGCGCGTCCGCCGTGGACGGCGGCGAAGCGCGCGAGGCCGACCCGAACACCACGGGGCTCAAGCGAGAGGTCGTTGCGCGGCGGTGCGTGAAGGCGGTCGACGAGGGCGACGGGATGGTGTTCCTGCCCTGGCTGATGGGTTGGTCGCAGCTGGTGTACTGGGCGTGCCCGGACTTCGTGAAGTGGAGGGCCATGAAGAAGTATAACTTCAATGTGGATGAGGCGAAGAGCGATGCGCCGTTGTTCTGATTTTGAGTATACCATCTATTCGCCCTGATATGCTGATTTATGCACATTTATGTATATCCTTTCCTCTCTCGTGACCGACGTCGCCAGGTTGACAGTGAGGGCATCCAAGCTGCGGCTTTGGACCCGAGTAGGAAGACACAGCGTATAGCCAACGGGATAAGATGCCATACTCATCAAGCGTTCAAGAGAACGATAACCACTAAACCCAGCAAAACCTCCATTGACTTTAGCATATGGCTACATCGGTAAGTACCAAGGCTACATTAATTCAAGGTGTGAAGCGCAACTGTGTCATTGTGGCCCGTCGCCACTAATGGTGGTATCCATGCTGGTTCTCACCCTTGACAGCGATCCGATGGTGAACGTTCCCACCGACGTGCGACCCGTGATTGTAGTGTACCTTGCGCTTCTGCCTCGCGGGAATGCAGTTGTCTTGGTCTTCAGACAGCATAAAGCCCCTGGAACATTTCCCTAAACCAAGAGTGGTAAAGCGAGCGCAATAGCAATTCGAGAAGGCTAGTGCTCACGGATCTTACAGGTCCCGTTGCTACAGGACACGTCGTCGACGTGCGGAATCGCGCTGCAGTCGCGTCCCCCGTCGGTGCTGGGCGTGCCGGCTCTGGAATCGTCGACACATCCACCGCAGGACCTGCACATTTGAATGTCATCAGCCCTGGTCTGTGACCGCAAAGCCCGGAGGAGAAACATACTCTATATCGTTGGCAATGTCGACACACTCGTATCGGTACAGCGTGGTTTGCGAAGCATGTCCGGCGTTGCCTTGGACCGCGTTCCAGATAGGGCAGCTCTTGTGGCCTGGCTTTCCGCAGTATTCCACAGAGCCAGCAGCACGCTTACGCTGGGAGCTGATTGCACCTCCAGCTGCCGCTAATCAGAGGACTGCATTAGCTTGGCCGATGAGTCAGGAAGAAGTGTGAACACGTACGGCAAGTCCCACTTGAAGTCTGCGAGCATGACGACAACGCACCTGGGGCGTCGATACATTGGCCGGCTGAAGTGGAACCTGCTGGGGACCATCCCTGCTGCTGACTGCCCCTGTTCGGGCAATTGAAGCAGTGGGTCTGGCCTGTTTGATCCTACGAACCTGTCAGCACACATAACATCCTCACGGACACGACCGCGCTCACTGTGTACCATCCTGAGCAGCAGGTGCAGCACGCCGTCGCCCCATAGACATTGTTAAACGTCCCGCGCGGACACTCCAAGCAGTCCTGCTTAGCACCGGGGTAGGGCGAGTAGCGCCCGGGCTGGCAGTACTGCGGCTGAGTCTGCGTATTGGAATTGCAGTAGCTCCCGGCGGGGCAGATGGTGCATTCTGATGCGTGGCCGGTGCTATAGTACCCTTGCCCGCATTGCTCCTGCTGCTTGTTTCCCGTACCCTTGGCATACCAACCTGCCTGGGCGGCTGTACAGCTCGTAGCACCGGACTCTGCACAGTATACCGACAATGTGTGAGGGATAGAATCTAGAAGGGAGGTCAAGCACGTACGGGATTGGTATGTCCCAGCAGGACAGTCTTGACAGGGTTTCTGTCCGTTCGAGGAATAAGTCCCAGGGCTGCACTGTCCTGCAGAGGCCCGCGCGACCAAGGCTATCAGCAGGATGGAGGCCGAAACATTGAGCCTGCTAGCGGATGGAAAAATCGTAGATCGCATCAGTGGGCTAGAAAGTCAGGCTGAAGGCAGACACCCTCGACCTTCAGCCCGTATAAAAGGATCTCCGTGCGGGTATTGTCATAGCCATCCTGCGCAGGAATGTATTGAATCAAGGACCTATCGCAAGATTCGTGCCGCGGAGGTTAGAATTCGGACTCCGCTTGTTGCCGTCCTTTTCTGAGGTGCTCCACACTGTCCGCCGGGCTCTCCCGGCGTGCGGCATTCGCGGCTTGAGACTGGGTACGACGAACTCCTAGACTACTTAGATGAACGGCCCCTTGCTGATCGACATTCAATACAACGTAAGTCAGGCCCAGAGCTAGAGTACTTACAGTTTGAGTCTGCCAAGGTCGTTTCAGCTGAGTCTGGTTCTTCAGAGCGAATTTTTTCATGCGTTTCATGCAGATGATCTGCTAGTAGCACTCCTGTTTTACTGACATTGGTCACTTCATTCGCGCACTGGAACCTGAGACGCAGCTATCCTGGATTTCCCATCGAGTGAGCTAACTCGTTGAATCTATACATAATGACTCCGGCCTCTTTATGACAGGGGAATAACGATCGGACCCCTCTGAATGCTTAGGCCTCAGGATGAAGTAATTATCAATGCTACGATTAGGCAGTGTACGATATGTGGAATGGTATTCAGTGAACATCAAGAAGATATCTCAAATAGCTGTTTCTGTGGTCCTCACCCTCGCCAAGAAAGCCGAAATAATTGCACCAAAAAGGAAAGCAAGTAATAACTTCGTCTCCTCGTTTCCCAGCCGCTGACGCAGAAGAGCACCCACACCAGTACTTCCCTTCGCCTCCGGCTCCTTCTGCACTTTGGGCTTCTTCACAACACCGAACTTCGAGAAATCCCGCACAGCCTCTGGCGGCCGATGAGTCTGCTTCGGCGCGTCGCTCAGCGAAGGTAATCCATCTATACTCTCGGAGTTGAGGAATCCCCAGATTGCTTTCATGCCCTTCTCTGCGATAAATCCGGGCGCCTCGAGATCGCGCTTCTCAAATATAGTTGCGTTGTTCAGAAGCGTGTCGCGATGGCCGATGAACTCATAGTACGGTACGCCGTATCCGCAACTCTACGCAAAACATTGCGTTACAGATTAGTTGGATATAAGCCAGTGGACGACTTACCGTGCCAACTTTGTGCACGTCTATGACGATCACGGCGCGTGAGCCTGGCGTCCTGGTCACCGCCGAGATGAACAGATCGTATTCTGGTGAGCCGAATTCATGCACTCGTCCTAGGGACGCCACGTCGTCAGCGCTGGCTGAGAGAACAGAGCGACAACCGCACGTACCTGTACCGAATAGACGAGCTATCGTCGGTGGGCCCTCGAACGCACTGAACAGAATGGTGATGCGCCCATTCTCTTTCAGATGCGCGATCGTCTCGCTCCCTGCAATACACTACCGATCAGTCTAAGCCATGTAGGGATCCATCCAGCGTTCCACTCACCACTCCCTGTGAGGTCTTCGTACCACACCTGCCTGCTGTCGACGACGTGGAAGGTCCCTCCGACACCTTTAGTCGAAACGTTGACATGTCCGGTGGGGGAGAGCGGAGCCGTAGCCACGGTAAACATATGTTGTTTCTTTATCCATTCGATGAGGTGATCCGGTATCTCGTCGTAGAATTTACCCATGGCTTGCGCAGGATAAAGGAATTTGTGGGCTATCCATAAGTGTTGGTTTCGCTATATATGCTTTGAGCGCGGGCTGTCGCAAGCCTCACCGCCGCGTAACGCATCGGCTTCTTGGCTTCGTCTAGTGAGTGTTAAGTAGATCGCATCGGGTCGAGTGATATTAGTGGACATGGTGTTCCGCACAAGTCACCTGTTGATAGTGACGCTCTAGTAGCACTGCTAGCAGCCTACGCGTATTGGCGGCATGTGCTGGAAACCCTTAAATTAGCCTTTAGACTCCGAGATGAAGCGTGCAGAGCAGACAGACTACAGTAAACTTGAGAACACGTTTCCACCGCGATTCAGATAGTGGCATCCATACTCTGCTGGTCTGTAGAATACTTATAGATAATATACAACAGGCTATGCGTACCAGTAGAACTCCCATGTCTACTTCTGTAACAAATCTAGAAATAGCAATAACGGTATCGTCAATCATAACGAGGGAAGGGCTAGGATGCAGCGGCGAAAGACAGTATTAGTAATGTACAACTACCCTCGACATAAACCCAAATATATGAAAAGACCTGTTATATAACTACGTACCAGCTCTACCAAAGCGCATCCGTGTCATCATATGCATCTTCATCACTGCGCTCGGCGAAGTCTGGGGGAGGCACGTATGTCATCGCGTCCCTGTCGTCACTCGTCACTCTCGCATACTCCAAGAACATCCTATCAGGCAACTCAAATCAGCGTCCTATCCATGGGTACCCATCCAACTTCAGACTCACCGGAACATATACGCGGTCATATCCTCCTTCCGCCAGAACCGCTTGCTCCAATCGCGCCCAGCCTCCGCGATCCTCTTCGCAAGCTCGTCATGGCCCCCCTCCCCATTGATGTCGCCGCGGAAGAACAGGAACGCGTCGTACAAGTCGGACAGGTCAACTTGAACGGGGACGTAGTGCACCCAGGGCTGAATCCGGTCTTGAAACCTGCGAACCCTGTGTCAGCCTCAGCTACCGCGAACCGACCAGGATTCTCACCATTCCGAGTAGATAGTTGACTTGAAGATTAGGGACCGGGACGTGATGAGCCGTTTGAACCGACTCGACCAGCCATTCCCATCCATCTGTCAGGAGCCAAAAGCATCAGATCCACGAGTAGACCGTCAATCGGGAATGAAAAAACTCACATCCATAACATACTTATACTGCCCCGCCTCCTTCCAGTTCATATTCGGCCTCCACTCGAACAACTCTCCTAAAATCTCACAAATCGCCGGCTCGCACGCCAACGGCTTGCCCGCAAACTGCACGTCCATCGTCACGGCATTCAGCAGCTGCCTTCTGATCTCCACCGGCTCGCCCACGCTCGTATTGCCGTAAAAGTCGAACTTGTTCGGGAGGAGCACTTTGACTGAGCCATCGCGCCCCGTCGTCATCTCCACCAGCCGCTCGCGGTGTGCCTTCCACCACTTCCTGTCACTGCCATGCCATATCCCCGTATTGCTCCCCCTCCACAACAGCCGCTCCTCCCTCTTCTCATCCCACTCGGGGTCATCGATATCCGCGACCCAGTTATGCGGCGTCGGCGGGCGCAGGTCGTTGTGCAGGTCGTCGACGCACCACGAGAACTGCGGGCGGAGGAGCGGGTCAGGCGCGGGGCCAAAGTTGTGTGACAGGAACTGGCCGTGCTGCGAGAAGTGCGTCGGGTGGAGGCACGGGTCCATGCTCGCGCGGTGGTCCCAGATGAACGTCTTGCGCTCGAGCGGCTTGTGGTCGTTGATCATGCGCGAGGGGTTGCGCCGCGCGGGGGACTGCGGTGGGCAGGCGGAGAGCCAGCCGTACGCGCCGCCCGGTGGGGGCTTGCTGACGTCGATGTCTGGAGCGATCGTGAGTGGCTAGGAGGCAGCAAGATTAAGAAGACGTACATTTGCCCTCGGCAGCAGCCTCCACGGCCATCTTCCGCAGCTCGTAGTTCTTCACAACATTCGGGTTATCGTGCGGGGAGAAAATCGCGCGGAAGGGAGGGATAAATTCCTCGACGTCCTCGAGCAATTCCATTATCTTGTAGGCCCCATAAAGGTGCTCTTCCCGGCGGCCCTCGTTCAAGAAAGCTGTCTTGAGGACGTCGATCGGGTCGTCCGCCGCCATCTTGCCGAGGACGAAACCATCCTTGTGCTCTTCCCAGTCCGTGGCGATCTTCTGCAGGTCCGCGGGGCGCATGCCCCAGAACGGCTCGAGATCCTCGTGGATCTGGTCGTACTCATCCGGCAGCTGCACGTTGTGCTCCTGAACGTATCTCCACCTAAGAGGCGTGAATAACAGGATCCATGAAGCTATTAGCCTACTCACCAGTGATCGAAGCCTTTTGGCGGTAATCGCTGATATCGCCTCTTGTACTCCTCCACCGCCTGAGTAAGCGTCCGACTCGCTTTTCGCAGCTTGTTATCCCAAGCCTCCTCCGCCCGCTCGATCAGCTCAAAAATCGGGTGGGCGCCCTCGGGGTTCACAACGAGCAGCCCATCTGAGCGGTACACATGCGGAGGGAGCTCCTCAAACAGCCCCTCGTACTCGGGCTCGTCCGTCAAACCAAGGAGTTCCGGGAACAGGTCTTCAGGACGCGCAACCACCTTCTCCTCCTCCGCCTCGCTATCTAAAGGGGATTCAATTTCGCGGAAAGAGCTGTCTTTCGCGGGCTTCAGCACGACTTGCGCGGTGGGATGAGGCTGGAGGTCGGACTGACGCTGTACCGCATACATACCATGGCCGTGGGGTGCCGGGGCCGATTCATTGTGTTCCTCCTCGAAAGTGGTCGGTCTTGGTCGGCTTGATGTTTGGGCGAATTGCAAGTACGTGAGGGAGCATAGAACGACGAGAAAGAGCGGCAGGGCGAGCTGGAGTTTCCGGCGCGGCTTGCGAATGTAGATAGTCATCCTCCACCGCCCTCTGCTCGACGCCGACAAGCTCAACATCGTCGTCCAGGTCCAAGAACAGCTCCGGGATCAGTACTCACTGCATTCACCGGCGTCACCGAGCGCTAGTTATTTCCGAGCCCGGTGCCGCTTTTCAGCGCGAAAGGAACTGCCTCGAGGTGCAAGAGAAAAGATCAACCACCGCATCATCTGCAGTGTGCCTTTTTGTGATAATATGAGACGTTCTGTTCGATCGGAACGTGCGTCTCGCCCAACGTTATTGAGTTGACGTTTCCGCCACTTTTTCCGCACCGGGACATATGTCAGATTGTGGACTAGATCAGAGCGCACCGCCAGGTACAGCAGGGTACAGCGCGCGGGACCGGCTACTATTGATTTAGCGTGTGAACCGCGGGCTTATCCCTGAGGAAGACTTGGATGAGCTTTTGCGGTGGTGGCGGTTGTAGGAGGAGGGAAAAAGAAATTGGGGAAGAAAGGGATTTGGGCTCCCTTTTATCTGAGCCAGTAAAGCTGCTACTACGGGGTAAATCGGACGTAGGAGGCGACATGGGGAAAGGAGGATCGGGAGGGATGCGCCACAGTGTCAATGACATATCAAGCAAATGTCCTTCCATTTCGGGCGTCGTTTTGGAATCCAGAATCCTTGATCATTGGGCACGTGCCGCATATCGCTGTATTTCAAGTACTTGTATTTTTTCTTCTCGTAGACGGCGGCTGAGCGTGCACTGTATTTCGGGGCTATTCGTGCTGAGCGCTGCTTTACCATGGCTTACCATGGGTAAGAAACTCTTGCCAAAGTAGGCCACTGCGCAATCTCTATTATCCTCACGCCCATAATGGGGCCCAGTACCGGTGCTTATCATGTTTCCCATGGCGCGCTTCCGGCCATACAATCATGAGTATAATGATGCCCGAGCACTTGGAAAACTCTTACCACCACCATGGGCAAATTCTACGACGAGATACCTGAGCACCTCATAACATGGATAGCAAAGCAGCAGATGTTCACGGTCGCAACGGCGCCGCTCAGCGCGGATGGGCACGTCAATATCTCGTCCAAGGGGGTGGATGGCACGTTCCACGTTGTTGATGGCAAGCGGGTGTGGTACGAGGATCTGACTGGCAGCGGTAAGCGCTGGCAATACCGCAATGAAATCAGCATCATTCAGAGGGTGGCTAGGCAACGAAACGATTTCGCACATACGCGAAAACTCCCGCATCACTATCCTGTTCAACGCCTTCCAGGGGCCGCCCTTGATCTGTCGCTTATTCGGTACAGGTGCCGTATATTCTTCGTACGTCGAGGTTACGAAGGTCTGACGGCAAACCCCAGGCACTGTCCACGAGTTTGGCACACCCGAGTACGACAGCTTCATCTCCCCGGAGACGCGGATGCCAGGTTCGCGCGCGGTCATAGTCATGGATGTGCACAAAGTCGGCACGGTGAGCGCCCTTACCACAGCATACATATTAAGCGAGTTGCCCAGTGTACGAGCCAGAGCTGCGGGTACGGCGTACCGTACTACACCTTCGACGGCCACCGCGACACCATCCTCAACTGGTGCTCGCAGCTGGAGAAGTCGTCGAACAAGGAGAAGGACTTGAAGGCGTGGTGGAGAGCGGAGAACACCAAGAGCCTCGACGGCTTGCCTGGTTTGAACGTCGCGTCTGTAACGGAGCGGCCGGTGGAGAGTCGGTACCAGTTCCACTTGACGAAGAAGCCGAAAAAGAACTCAGACGGGCCTGCTACCGAGGGGCATCTGGTGGGCAAGGAGGAGATAAAGCTCATGCTGGCGTTCCTCTTTGGTGCGATAGCTTCTGCCATGTATGCAAGGGTGAGCGGCCTGAGCGTGTTATCATGACATCTGCCCGAGATATACCATACATACCATTTGGACATATCAGTGGGGACTCTGAAGGTCGCAACTCCCTCGTCCTTTGCTCCAATAGGGGACTTCTCTAGCCAAGGTGGATTGTAAGTCATGGACGTACTGCAAATTCTGCTGCGTACCATGTGTACACCAGCGTCCAGTGATTCGGCCCGACTTTCGCAACCATCGGAACAGCTGTAGATAGCACGGTGACCTGTAAGTGTTGAAAGCCTACACATACCTGTATAGCAGATAACTTTGAATCGTCTGGAAGGGCGTAAGTTCATGAGGAGTTAGTGAAGTCCACTAATGCCCCTTATAAACTTACGCCCTTGCGGCCTCTACAATCATTCTTCTGTCTCGTATCGCCTCGCTATGGAAAGAGGGCACGTTCGTGTTTTGGGACCTCTATACAATCGCTAGCCAGATATCCAGCGCTGCTGCGCGCATGCAAACCGCGCTTTGAGTCAGACTTGTTCGGGGAGACCGTGACCGCCGTAACGACTCAGACGCGCAGAGCACGTGACCGCATATAGGCTGCCAGTGGCACATGACACATCTCGACCCTTGCATGTTTCCTTCCTTCCATCGCTGGCCTTTCGACCGAGACTCACAAATAACTGACTCCAAAACCGCTTGACCCTTGCGGCTACTCGTCATGCCCAAACCAGAGCCGCAGGATTCCTCCGTCCCCGCTCCGCCCAAATACTTCCGCATCTCCAAATCACTCAGACCCTCCCTTAAAACGCGGCTCACTCCAGAAATCATAGCAGAGCTAGACGCCCTCTGGCACGCCGACCCGCGTGTCCCGACTCTGCAGAGTCGCCAGGCGTGGGCGCTCGCGCGCAGCATCGAGCCGATCCGCGTGCACAACTGGTTCTCGCACAAGAAGTCTTTGGCGGAGCGGAAGGGGCAGATTATCCCTGAAGGCACGTATGAGCTGGATACGCGACCACCGACAGAGCTGGAGAAGATCACGGGTGACGACGAGGAACAAGAGAATCGCCCAAAGAAACGGACCAAACGCCCAGAATCGCGCTCCAGTACTTTGTCACCGCCTGCGGGTACCAAGACTAAGGCTATAGACGAATTCCCCAGCTCAGAGTTGACTTTGGTGGACTATGATTCTGACTCTGGTGATCATACCGCGTTTGGACGACCTCTATGCAACAGCGGACGATATAACAGCAAAAACGGGGAGCGTGCTCGCGACTCTGGTTATCTGCTGAGTTCTGGTCGACCTATGGACGCAAATACTCCGTCGAAACGCGCATATACCCCACTGGCTGGCGACTGCTCGGGCTCTGCTCTCTCTGCCAAGTCTCGTGCTCAAAGCCCCCGAGCAACTCAGATCGACTCGGATTCTCAGTGTGCCGCTACACCCCAGCTTGAGACTCGATTATGCAAGCAAGGAACAGTTGGCTCGTCCACGTTCACGTGTGTTCTATGCAAACCAGGACCTACTAACAAAGGTATACTTTCTGGGAGCGCTTCACTTTATGGTCTTCCTTTAGAGGCTTATCCCCCTGGATTCCGTGGCAGAACCTACTAACCTCCCCTCGCTGCTCTCGCCATCTGACGACACCGGCCCGCCTTGTCTGTATAAGCCTTTCTCCCTGCTGTTATCTCGATATGGCGAATCTTTTATGGGTATACGGATGAAACTCGTCGATGAAGTCGCAGTGGGAATGTCTGCTATACCGTGGCTCGAGTCCCTGGAACGCGGGACGCAGCCCGAGGTGCGGATGGATTCATGTTTGTGTTGTGCTGACATTTTACCAGATATATTCGTGATGTGTACCAGACTTCGACGTCTATATCTACGCCCCTCCTGGGAGACCTATCCGAAGAAGTCGTCCCCGATATACCTAGGCAACTAGCCGCAAAACTCGAGGCGATCAACCGGGAGTTGGAACTCATGTGATGTTCTTGTTTCTGCTTGTCCTATCGAACCAGTTGCTGTGATCCGCATGTATGGAGGGACAGTTACAGTGCTATATATACAAATTCACTGCGAAGAAGATGCGCTGGTACATCCCTCAGTCCGCAAGCCCAGACCCAAAAACACCGATGAAATACCTCTTAACACCCTCAACACCTCCGACAATAGCCCCCACCACCCCGTCCGGCCTCACAATGACTACCTTCCTCCTGCCCTTCTCAGCAGAATAATGCTTATACGCATACCCAAAACAGTCCTTGACAACATGGTGCACACCGTCCCACGTCTCCCGAGGCTGCAGCCTCTCCACCGCCGTCCGCGTCGGGAAGACGACCACCGAGCGCGTAACCAGCGGCGGGAGCTCCTCCAGGACGTCCAGCACCTCTTCCACGGCGGAAGAGAATACGAGCACGGTATGGTGCGTCGGCTTGAACAAGTCAAACAGCCTCTTCGTCCCGGGCCCGACAGGACTAATATCAACCCCGGCCTTCAGATCCGCGAGGAACGGCGCGTCCGGCGCGCGGTCGCCCGCGTACACGCGAGCACCCCCCGCACCCGTCGCCGCCCCATACGCCTCCCTTACACTCACCCACCTCCCCTCAGCCTCCTCGTCCACCACGATCTCGCTCCACCTATAATTCACGCCCAGCTGGAAGAACACCTTCCCGCGCACCCACGGGTTCGCGCCCTCGTCCTGCAGGTGCTCGGGCGGGATGTCGCGCTTGGTGGCGGCGGCCTCGACGGCGCGGTCGAGTAGCTGTGTGGTCTTGTTGAGCATCTGCGCGATGACGGGGAGGCGCTCGGAGGTGTAAGTCCCCAGGAGGGAGGCGGGGGCGAGGGATTTGTGGACGAGCGCGAGTTTCCAGGCGAGGTTGAACTGGGTAAGGTGAATTTGTTAGGCTGGATGTGAAGAGGTGCAGCGGGGGAGGCTCACGCTGTCCATGACGGCGGAGTTGCTGCCCTGGTCAGTGGTGGGGTGGTCAGCAGGACTTGGCTGGGGTGCATGTCTGCTCACCTGTGCACCGAAGGGGCTGTGGACGTGGGCCGCGTCTGGGAGCCCTTAGTCTAGCAAGCAGGAATGCAGCAAGCTGGTAATTATTCACCTCCGCATACGAACACTCTTCCTTCTCCGAATTTGTTCACCATCCGTATGTTAGGTCTGATTATACGTAAGTAGCCTTCCTCCATGTTTGATAATGAGATAAACGCACCTGAAAGAGTTCAAGGTCACGAATTCACCAAGCTCAAAATCCGTCCTGCCTGAGACTTCCCGGACGAACTGTCTCAAAGCTTCCGGGTCCGACGCTAATTTTTCGTAATCCGCCTGTCGGCCACCGCTGAGAGACCAGAAGATACCGTCTTTCTCCGTGGGCCGGATCGTTACCCTGTGAGCGCCATGACACACGTACGATGAGGACGTCTATGAAACACTTACCACTTTGTGGAGACGTCGCCCCACATATGCCAGTACTGAGAATAGTGAGTAATGATGTACAATCATTATCATTGGATAAGACGCCTACGTCGTTGCTGAGCCCAGTAATATGGACATCCGCGATGACGAGCCCGTCCTCTGCACGGGTCTCCCCAAGGAAGGTCAGACCAAGTTGTTTCCTCACGATTCCTTGTCGAGAACTCAGTTCGCGGTGGTAAGTGAATTCGTAAACCTCCTCTACCTTTACCGCCGTCCGCCCCAACTAGCCATCTTGCTTCGATAACGCCCGGCACCAGGTCACCGTCTTTTTGTACGGACACATGGACTGTCACAGCGTCGGGGTGCTGCTCGAAGTCGACAAGGCCTACGCCGTACTCTACTTCGCACCCGTGCCTTGATAGGTGAGAGCGCATTATTCTGGTTACTTCGTCTTGCCCAAGGGTATACCCTCGAAGCTATCATGGAAGGCAAGTGAAGAACGTGTGTATATCCTGGATAGTTTATAGGCTTACATATGGACAATCTGGCGTGGGGTCGTACACCGTGACCATGTCGAACTGTTTTGCCGGTTTAGTGATTCCCGGCGAGTCATATTGCGCACACGGGGGCAGCATGAACCCGGCTCTGAGGATATTAGGGAGGACGCCCAGAAACTCGTATATTTCCAGCGTCCTAGGCTACATAGACGAATTGATGAGGCCGGCCGTGGAGCGGTGGCGATAGGAACAGCTGCCTGACCATGATCCCCGCTCCTCGCTGCCCTACGGGAGGTGCAGGAGCCTTGTCAATGACGCGCACTGGGACCCCATTCTGCACCAGTGTGAGGGCGAGGACCAGTCCTGCAGGTCCTGCCCCAACCTACGATGGTGATAAGCTAGAAAAGACCGTGAGTGATGCACCTTACTCACTATGAGGATTGGGATAGGATCAATGTGTCCTTCCGAGGGTTGCATCTTCGCTGGCAAACGGGTTTGCAACGTGTCGCCTTTATATGAGTCTCAGGCAACCTATATCAGCCTGGATAACAGTAACCGCAGCTCCTAGGGTCATAGAAGACCGGTGGGCGGCAGCATCACGAGTTCTGGGTTCGCGTGATTTCACGCGGTACGAAAGGCTGAGCGTAATATTGGCTGAGCAAAGAGGCGAGAAAAAGGGATGAGTAAAGTGCTATTCATGGCTCAAGAAGACTGAAATATCTTCGGCTCAGTCCAACACTCCCGCTGGTCCGGGGAAGTGCACTTGCAAACCTAACCCTGCCCGTAGCCTGAGTGCCAGCGTTGCACACTTTGCGATTGATCCACCTCAGCAGTAGTAAGCTCCTAATGACTGGGCAACGGTCCAGCGATTCAGACATGTGTAATCGCATGTTACGTCTCTGGTGAAAACGCAACTTACCTCATACGTACATCACCTACTTATAGCGGGTCCGGACAAGGGCCCGGCCTCGTGGCGATATTTGGAGCAAACCAACTTGAAAGGGACTGCATTAGTCGTCAGCTTCAATCCGGACCTACGAACGTCGATGTGGTTGAAGTTAAGCCACTACGTATACCGCCGACATCTCCAACCCTAGGCTCCGACTCCTCCGAGTATGGAGGACATTGTCTACTACTTACTCTGTGAACTTATGGCGCCATAGCACGAGTCAAGCCATATCTATCACAGTTGGAAACAAGCCGGGGGACACTATACAATCTCAGCCGCCGGCATATCGTTTCATTGGTGAATAAGATACTGGAGAACCGGAGCTATCATGACTCGATCACGTTCACCATGTCTAACATGGGCGGTTAACGTTTAGTACTTATACCACCGTAGGAGTCATTCCTTCAGGCCAGGACTGCCTATTTCCCCGTCTATCATGGTGAAGTTCTTCGATGAGATACCTCCCCATGTCCTGCAATGGATCGAGAAGCAGCACATGTTCACGGTCGCTACGGCTCCTTTAGCAGCGGATGGGCATGTCAATGTCTCCTCGAAGGGTGTAGGGGGGACGTTCCATATCGTCAATAATAGGAAGGTATGGTACGAAGATCTTACAGGCAGCGGTGAGTGTCGTGCTGCATCGGCGGGGTGTAGATAAGCGTCTAACCCCCCTGTCAGGCAGCGAAACCATCGCGCACTTGCGCGAGAATGGACGGATAACCATTTTCTTCAACGCCTTTGAAGGCCCTCCGATGATATGTCGCCTATTTGGCACAGGTATGTGGTCTCAGGCGCATGACTATAGGGTTGACTGATCGACGATTCTACAGGGCTCGTGCATGAATTTGCCACACCTGAATATGATGCCTACATACCTCCGGACAAGCGGACGCCAGGCTCGCGCTCCGTGATAGTGGTCGATGTCCACAAAGTGGCGACGGTGAGTCATTCGGAGTCAGCTCCCCCGTCTTTGAACCCGTCTGATCAATACGCAGAGCTGCGGCTTTGCAGTTCCTTTCTACGACTTCGTCGGCCACCGTGATACCCTTCTCAGTTCGGGCACACGGAAAGAATTGGCTGACCTCAACGCACTTGATGGAAGAGGCGAGGGTGGGCTCAAAGCTTACTGGGAGAACAACAATACGCGCAGTATAGATGGGCTCTCTGCGTTGCAGTTCGCACATAAGTCGGACAGGGTAGCTGACGCTACTAGGGATTTCAGTCGGTTCGGTGTGGTGACTCGCAAGAAGGGGGAGCGACGGAATATCGGGGGAGAAGAGATGAAACTGATGCTGCTGGCTTTCTTGTTTGGAGCGATTGTATCAGCCTTCTTTGCAAGGCTGCTCCGGGGATGTTGACGGTAGTGTTCATACTTGTACATGCCTGTGTAAGTAGGCCGTACTTGCTTACCTTTGACCTGCTCACCACGAGCACCGGGACTGACAAGATAGTGTTCGGAAGTTATGTATGACCGCCGCACGCATTTCTGAGTCGCACTGAGACCCCCCCCCGCGCAGCCCCGCCACACTAATCACAGTACTTTTACAGCTGCGATCCTTGAATTGACGAGCGGTCGAGTTCCTCACCAATCGTTGGGGGGAGGAAATATGAAGAAGTCCACATTAGCATGGGCAGGCCAAGTCCTACTGAATACAATAATGCTGGGTCTAGCACACAAGATAGGACCGTCTGCAGGTGAGAATAGCTAGCGACCATGAGAATCCTGCAATCTGAGCGTACTAGGAAGATGTAAGGTGTTGTAGAACAGTATTTCATATCCGATGAGACCTCCGTACTGCTGCATTTATGGGCCGAGGTAAAGTGCAATCTATGAATAAGATAGATAAATTGGGATCGTGCTGAAAATCAGGCTTTGTTGCTTACCATAGGTCTTCTTCCGACTCGCTCTGGGTTTTCCATTCCAAGAAATTGTTTTCCGTCGCACGATAGATGGTCTCCCAGTCAACGCAGCGGTGTGTCAGACCGAGCCCATCGATACCGTCTATGTGGTAAGCCTCTCGGAGGAATACGCTTTGCGGTTCAAGTCGCAGGTCCGGCGAGCACAAGATGGACTGGCGCAGGTAATTGATGCAATGTTGCAAGTGTGCTAGCTGCGCGTCCGCGAGGTCCTCACTTACGATGCCTTTTCGTAGGTTGTTCAGACAGTGGAGTTGGTGGAACATCGAAATGGAGAATGCGCGGTGCTTGGGCCCTAGGTGTACAAACCCTCCTCCGAGCGGGAACATAGATCCCCACTCGTCGAAGGATTCGGGGGTGTCTATTTGATAGTGCACCGAGTCCTCCACTGTTAAGAATGCCTCTGCAAGTGCAGGGATAGAAAAATGTTCCGGGTAATCATTTCCTTCATAAGCTAAAGTCATTATGGATGGGATGAATATTCCTGGGGGTGCGGCGGTAGACATACAGTAAACCTTTCGCGCATGCCACTCCACCATGATACTCAGGGTGCGAATAGCCACAAGGAAGATCGCGGTCACCACTAGCATCCAAGATGCCCATGGCAGCGGTGTTTGGACATAACGAAAAGGCATCAAGACACGCTGGAAGAGTGGGAAGTCGTCTCCCGCCGCGCTTGCGGGCTTCTGAGAAAACGTAGCGCAAAGCTCGCGGAAGTGCCAGTGGGCGCAGATAGGTGTCTTAAGCATGAGATACTCATTAGGGTATATCCTGCATTTCAATAGCTAGTTGTTCTGAATCAGAAGCAGTAAATAACTCAGATGCATACGGACAGTGCCCCTACACCCGCAGCAAACGTAGCTATCGCGAGTAGCGGGGTTTGATAAGGGAGCATGTGGCCATCTTGATGTGCGAGACGACGGTCCGCTGGAGTAAGGGCAAGGCCCTGCATTGACAGGAGGAACAGCCGCCACAGACTGACACGCTGCGATTCATTCCGCAAAGATCATCAGTCGTTTGTTCTGATTCTTCATACTTGTTTTCCTGCTGGTGTTCCGGGTATATGTTCACCGGTACCATTAGTTGACGGTCTGCGTATAATCATGATATCGGTCGGGCGGGGCGCCTTCTGCAGTTCGCCATACTTCGACGTTTGAAGGATCGTCGGGGCACCTACCTGGTAATTATTGGCCATCTGAATCTATTACAGGGTACATATAGCCTTCAGATTTCTTACTCGGAACGTTGCTGTATAATAATATACATTTCAAGACTGAAATCACTATCAAAGGGCTTTCACAATCGACTCGGAGTTTTGATTGAATCTGAGTACATACTGAGCTGTACACTTGCCTCATGAGGTGAGTCCGACAAGTTCGGGAGCTGCCGCCGGGCACTCTTGAGTCCCCGTATGGACTTCCCCCGAGACCACCGATGGCATGATGCTCACAACGATGAAGTTGAGCGATGGCGCTGAGCGCTGGGCGTGGAATTCGCTTCCATTTGATAGACCTGCGCCAGAAGGTTGCCGTCACGGACTGAGAATAGACTCGCGTCCCTCATATGTGGGGAACGAAGGAGTTCTAGTCCTACTCGTGAGTCCTTCTCCCCCTTCCAGGCGACATCTGTCCCAGCAGCGAGCCAAGCATGAAAAGGACCGCAAAGGGCCCTGTTGAAAGCGATGACAAGGAAGTATTCAGAAACCTACTGCATCCCCCCCGTAGATGGCAGGCGCTTTTTCTTATCACATTATGTTATTTTCTGTTCCGCTCAGTGCCGTCTTCCGTGCAAGAGGGACCTCTGGGAGATTGGCTGAAGTCGCGTTCTCCTAGTGGTTGGCCGCGAGCCTCGTGTCCTTACCCGTTTCCGAACGTCGTCTCTTCTTGGGCACCCACGGCAGAGTCGCCTGGAATAACTGCTGCGTCAAAGAAACTAGACAAGAAGCTGAAAGCCAGAGTAGCAGCAGGTGGCATAGATGGACTAGCGGTGTCAGTCGTGACTTCTTCTGGTCCACTTTTCGAAGGGACGTATGGCGTTGTCAAAGCCAACGAGACCGACCCAACCAAGCGACTCGAGGTGGATCGTCATACCATTTTCCGCCTAGCTTCAGTCACAAAAATGCTAACCGCAATGGAGACGTGGATCCTTCGGCAGAGAGGTGCTCTAAGCTGGTATTATTTTCCCTTGTACGTACGACGCTCTGCTAACAAGAGTACATAGGGACGACGCAATCACGAAGTTTGTACCCGACTTCAGCATTATCTCCGACGAGGAACCTATCAACGTCAGGCAGCTTGCGTCCCATACCGCTGGTATCCCAGGGGACATGCCTCCGGGGCCCATGACTGAGTGGCCTCATAGCCTGGAGGGTGCTGGTACACCTCCCGAAAATGGGCTGCCATTTCCCGCTCCAGAGGATGTCCTCTCTGCGCTTGCCAACTTCAGGCCTGTCGTACCTCCATCTTACCTCCCTGTCTACTCAGATACCGGATATTCGCTTCTGGGAATGGTCAACCTTGGAGCAAATACTCTCTGGGAGAGTTCCCAAGGTGACAGACCGAAGACACATGCAGAGCTGCTAGAACGCGACATCTTCGAACCTCTCGGTATGCGCAACACCGGATTCTCAAGTAATGTCTTGGACAGAAGCCGGATTGCCGTGGCATCTCTCAACTCTTACGAAGCGGTGTGCCCTGTTCCACAGTTATCTTTATCTGTGAGTTGTTAATACTACTCGACCGTAGGACTACGACTTCCTCGAGGCCATGAACCCTGCTGGCGGGTGCTACAGTAGCCTAGCTGACCTCGGTCTCCTTGCGCAAAACCTCCTCGCCCCAGGAATAGGTACTGACTTGTTGACGCCGATGACCGTACGCGAATGGATGCGTCCACTCCATGCATGGTACGACGACGCGACCGAAACCGGCCTCGTTTGGGAAATCGCGAAGTATCACAATTCCTGGGGTCAAGTTCAGCGGCTCTATCAGAAGTGTAAGTGACGATTACTGTGTTGTCTGCCGTACATTATCACAGCCACGTGGATGCTTTCCAGTTGGACAACTCGGAGGGTACCACACCGCATTCTCGTTGAATCCGACCAACGGGTTTGCCGTGATCGTACTCATGACGGGTGAATATCTCGACTCCCAAGCGCCCACGTTGGACGCCGTCGACGTGTTGCAACCTGCGATAGATCACTACATCGCTGAGACTGTCGCACGCATGTACTCTGGGCGGTGGAGGGCTGAATCAAAGGATGAGGCAGCTGCGAGCGACGTCATCATCAGCATTCACAAAGGCTCCCTCTGGGCTGAGCGCATAATTCTCAACGGTACCGACGTCCTGGGAATGATATACGGGCAAGGCAAAACACGGAAGGTGGGCCTATTTTCCACAGGTCGTGTCGATGAATTTCGGTGAGTAATATACCTGTTCCTATGTCGCACATCTATTCTGACCATCCCATGGTACAGTCTTGCCTTTGGCATACCCCCTTTCAACGATGCGCTGGGTTACGGGTGCACCATTTACTCCTTCGGCGCAGAGATCGGGTACTCCCGTGGGGCCCCTGTCAACGAGATGGTTTTCCGAGGCGATGCTGAGGGGAGGATTCTCAGAGTGCCGTCTGTCGAGCTCGACCTGCGACGTGTTCATTGAGGATAACCCACCGATGCACTAGTAGAAATAGCATCCAACGATTCATGCGAGTTTTAACAGGACTGTTGTCGATAGCATTGCACCATACGACTCGACCAGTACTATTGTAGGGGTGACGGCATTCACTGTTTCCGCATTGTACAGGATCAGTCTTTGTATCATGCCGACTCTACGGTGAAAAGATTTGCTTCAATTTCCCGAAGTTAGGTGTTCCGAGTCCCGTTACTGTGATTTGCCGTGAGTATGGGGTGGCTATCGTGCAGTATACTATTGGTAGCTTACCCGGATCCCATCCATACGTCGCCTGTGGAGGTTAATGTGATTACAAAGGAGGACGATCGTGAAATATATTACTCACGTTGAAACCTTGCGTCCCACACCCGGGATTATTCCCCGATGTGATGTCCGTTAGACCAGGCAATCCCTTTGTATATAGGACAGGGTTCAAGAACCCTAATGGAGGCAGCCCTCTTGCCAGTCGTCCGTCATTAAGAAGAGCGACAATGCTAGCGAAGATGGGGGCAGCTACAGACGTCCCCATCCCTCGTGCAGCCTGGCCTTGATAGAACGCACGGAAGTTAGTCGACTGAGCGGAGACGTCGGGCACTCCCTGTGGCAACGAGATCAATAGAGAATCTAACTTTTGCCTGTAATAAATAATGTACTCTGCCATGGCTGAGGGAAGATGATTCAGAGATATACTGTACTTCAGGATGTTCGCTTACGGATTGTAAAGACCTTGATATAAGATGGGTTGCAGACGATCTACGTAGCTTGATACGGAGCTCTCCTGGTAGGACGGGCGGTCAAACTACAGCAGTACGGTGATCCAGAGATCGACAATCATCTTAACGGGCACACCCCGAGAATCACAGCACATACATAGTTGCTGAAGCCACCGCCCGAGAAGTAGGAGGCCACCTCGGGTATTTGCGTTGTTCCACCGACGGCGGTCACGCTGCAGGATCAATCGGATACATCTATGATTCCTGAACGTTACTTACTAAGGACAGCTGGGTGGGAACGTCGGGATGAACCGAGATGCGTTTCGACCGTCATTAGCCTTGCATTGCTGAGTAGTTGGGTTGTCGTCACCGTCACCCACGCCCCCGTCTCCGGATGAGAATATCAGGGATGCACCACGAGCGCCTCGATGTTCTGTATCAGCCTGTAGAACAGATGCAGTGACCCCGTGCCTTCTTACCCAGAAGAGCAAACCCAGCACATATATGCTTGGCATATGCAATCGGCACTACGACGATGGGTGGATCTGGGTGAGTGACGAACGGCGATTTTATAAGGATCTTGTACAACCTGTATCCTCATCACTACGATGGAAATTCAGCACAGTAAGCAACTCCTTTTTACGGAGACGATGTCAGAGGCAACATACTCGCTGTAGCTCGTAGTAATCGTTGCAGGAAGTTCAGATTGCGATAGCATGTAGTCCAGCCACTAGAGTCGAATAAGACGGTTTGATTGCGGTTATCAGTAGCTTACGTCTCTGTATGCAGCGGACTACTCACCTCCGCGTAGGGCTCGTTCGCGTCCGTGGGTGTGTGCAAACTCGGTATAGATGGTGGGCTGCCCGCGGTCGAGTAGAAAATATTTGGCATCGGATATGTCAACCCCATTGATATCTGAATATCCAAGTCCGCCTCCCCTCCCGCTTGAGAAACATTCTGGCTATCTTTTCCGCCTATCAACCATGTGTAAGTCACTACAGAGGGGTAGGGATGAGGAGAACCACCGTTTACAGAAATAAACTGGTAAGTCGCGTCGAGTGCTTCAGGCCGCTGGTCTTGTAGAAACAACAGCAAGTCTGCGCGATTTGCATAGTAATCGAGGTAACCGGTGACTCCTATCTTACTGCCACTCTTGCCAAGCGTGGTGTAGTCGGTGATATTGTAGAGCTGCCGAATACAACTGAGGGTAAGTGTTGCATTGCAGCCAGTGTCGGTGACAGTCCCAGACCCGCTCGTTATTGAGGAAGAACCAGTCTGAGCGAATTCCCTGACTGCGATGGGGAGATGTGTAGCAGAGCCCAAGCCATTCCAACGAGCAAATATTGTAGTTGGTTGAACGAAATCCACATGGTGGAATACTTCGACCGGGAGGCTGTATGTGGTGGTTCTGACTATGGTGTCGTTACTGGAGGAATGACACCAAGTATAGTATGTCTAAATGCGAGATCGTCAGCGTGATACTAGTATGCGCCCCAGCCCTCAATATCTTACTGTGTTCAGCAATATCTCGGCAGTATCTATCGGTATTGTAACCATAAGCCAAGCTCTGGAAGGGCCTGGTTTGATAGAACTCTCTCGTATCCCGCTGCTAGAGAGCCAATTGTCGACTGCTGTAATCGCATCCTCTTGGGGTTTCAATATTGATTCCGCTTCTTCCTTGGAGAGGTGTCTCCCGTAGAGAGGACTGCCGGGATTACTGACATTGTAGAGGATTTGCTCTAGCAGTAAAGAATTGGAGAGCGATTGACGCAGTGCAATACGCAGCGTGACGAGATGGTTCGGGGGTGCACGTCCGAGCCTGGACCATGTAGGAGGAGAGGGTATGTTTTCCTTGATTCGATTGACGCTGTTTTCGGTGGCTGAGGAGCTAGTAGGGGCACAGTAGAAACTGGCAACGAGGATGAACCTCAGTATCACGTTCAAGTTGGGCCACATCGCGGTGTCTCTACAGCAACCCTGGGGGAGGTATTAAAGATCCTTCCCAATGACGCTGACGCTGGTGCGCCTTATAGCAGTAGAAACGACTCAAAGCGTACAGCCTCGGAATCTTGAGCGTGCGGGATGGTGCTCAGTGACAGATGGTGATATATGGTAACTGCAGAACCCTACCACGAGTATGCCGGATCTGTGGGCCAAGTTCAAAGGTATTCATAGAATACGACACAAAGATTCTCTCGCAGACACTCTCGAGGTATTCTGACAACATATTATGACTGCGAAGAGCCCGGCCTAGGAGGCCTGATGCGTCATGACTCCATATGACTCGGAGACGTATCATGATGACTTCGGCGACATCACGAACGCCACGCTAGATTCACTTTCAGGATACTCAGAGCAGACGAGACCGTCGAATAACTCGGGCATCCCGTGGCAAGTATCCTGCGACCACGTCGCAAGGTTAGTAACGGTGCACATGTACATCAGGAATTCAGCCATCAAAACAAACTTATTTGTATCTGTTTCTGGAGGACCCCTGAAAATACCGATAGATGCCGGTGCCAGTCCGGACAAAAATCGCGGTCTCGAGCCCTCCATGCCAGACGCCATCCGGACAAGGATGGACGACCGAACCGGCCATCCCGGTTTTACAGTCCGGACACCGGTCATGACCGAGCTACCATGCCGGTTACAGTCCGGACACGGCTGTGTGGCAAGTTGGCAACGGACTGGCCCAATTTATTTACCCTTTGTAGTACATGTATTTTAACCCAATTATGGCTGAGGTTTGTCCCAACCTGTCATTGTGTACCGTCGCATAGCCTCGTGTAGCCCTTATTTGCACTGTGATATATAGTTTCTAGTATGTAGCGCAATGGGCTCCGATGTCCAGTGGCTGAATGTGGCTGAGATCAGGACGCTGTATCGTCAAAGTTTCGCTACACCATCACCACTTTACATGACTCTGGAAGCATGGACGACGCCCACAATACTTAACGTGTGCGCTTCGAGCTCGTTCATATGGGGTACAGCAGTCTCAGCGGGATTCACATTAGGGCATGGCAGACATTGACCTCATGGAAGAGGTGGACATCTCATTCAATCCCAAGGATTGGATTGGGATAAAGGCAAAATGAATGCCGCACTCCAGGGTCTGGACTCGGATGGGGAGGAGGATGGTTGATGGGAGTGGGCGGCCTTCGTGAATTCTGTCGCATCATTGACTGCATTCGAGTCCTAGTACGATTACTGATACATTGTACAGTGTTCTAATGAGTTGATAGGCGAGAAAACCTTTTTTTCTGTTTTTTCAGACGCCGGTGCATTAGTCCGGACAAAAATCGGCCCCTTCGGGAGGCCGGTATTTTATCCGGACAAAAATGCGGGGGGGAGCCTCAGACAATCCAGACATGGAAATTTTGAGTCTCGCACCGGCATTTATCAGTATTTTCAGGGGTCCTGTTTCTGGCAACTTCTGACCTGTGGGACACACTCATTCAACGGCGCGCGGAAACTCTCTGCGCTCACATCTGTATGCCCCGAGATTTTGAAGTCTTTCACCAGTGACTTGTGCTATGTGAATATATCTACATGCCCGGTGACAGCGGCCGGAGCTTCTTGAATCATGTATGCATTGACTGGTGTCTGGCATGAGAGGATGTCTGACCGAGCAGAGTACGCATTGCCATTGAGTCTCCATATTTACAGTAGATCCAGCATGTGTATACTTCGTAAAGGTGTATGGGGCCCACACTCCTTCAAAGATAGACATATATGCCCCGAACCCAAGACTGATCCCTTCCTACACATTCAAATGGACGGGATTGGACCTTCCACATATGAGGTCAATATTAATAGTGTGTTAAAAGCAGTGGAAATAAATCCATACGTAGGATATGTATTCATCCTCACACCTTCACATGACTATGATTCTGCTCTAATGCTCTATACACTAGACTCCAATCCTGACATGTCCTGTTTGCAGTAGAGTCCACTTGCTTGAGGGGGTATGGTGGTATTAATGGTTCGATCCGTAGATCACCTCTACACAGTATCATCTGGCGCAAGTATGCGAGACAGTGCGTCGTATGCTGACTTCGCTTCCGAGCTACCATGGCATGCCACAGGTCCTCCAAGCAATGGAACTGATGGAACATAGATACACCAAAGGGACGATTTTGAGGACCCAGGAATACAAATCCACCACCATCTGGGAACAGGGGGGCCCATTCTGCATCAGAGGTTGAAGAATTAATGGAGTAATGTTCCATGTCATCTGTGGCCATGGTTTTCTTTGGAAGATTGAGAGGCAAGTACTGGGGATAGTCTTCTCCTTCATATGCTAGGCACCATGAGGCATAGTAGAAGAAATTCCACTGATAGCTTACAAAATGACTGAAGGGACCCATTGGAGAAATCCCGCTTCCCCATGAGTTCTTGGACATTCAGAGCCGTGGTTATGAAGATCACTAGGATGCATAGACCACAGACAAGTTTGTTCATGAACTGTGGCATGATTTACACACAATATAAACGGGTCCTAGGACTCTGCTTGAGTGTATGAGGTGATTTGAGAATGGATACAGGTAATACCTAGTATTATGATACCGGGTAGCTAAGTGGGAGGAGCAGTCAAGAGACTAGTATAGTACTATTGCAGAAACTCAAGATGATATACCGGGAGTTGGTTTGCCCCTGATTGAATCAACTCACATATCCAGTAGGCGAGGAAGGACTTAAAATTCATACCAGAAAGAAGTGTACCTTCAAAAAGTTTTTTTACAGGGCTTCAATGTACACATCTCTCAGATAAAGTACAAGGAACCACAGTCCATGCCTGACCTCTCGGAGAAGCAAACAATCACCATAACAGGGATTGTGGCATATGTAAATACATAGTGTTTGGGGAAGCATGACAGATCTGATCATATATTGGCAGTCACAGCCTATCTATGATAGGGAAATTCAGGGTGTGGAACAGGGAAGCATGGACACCAGGGATCTGATCTCAGGCTCAGAACGCAAGCACATGCTACACATCATGAGCAGCACACTGGCATCATATCTTGACCTCAGGCTCAGAGTTTCACTGTTACTGTTACTGTCAGAATTTCGACTTCCACTGGACCATTTTCATTGTTGATGATCTAATGATCAGGCACAGTATCATAGTTCTCATAGCTATAGGTACTGAGCGGTGACTAGAAAAAGGCTGCAAATAAAGTACTCGATACGTATGATCAGAAGCACAGTTGTTCTCACGACTAGGAGCAGACGATCCAAGGGTACAGTATCAGATTTGACTCGGAGTCTGTATGATAATCACTGCGTACAGCCTGTTACAATGTACTATCTGCTCCAATCCATCTGAGGCCCATCTCATCTCATGATACAAACAATACACCAGCAATCCATACAACCATCTTCACACTTAGGGTTGATATGGACTTCAAGTTTATGTCCCGAGGGCCGGGCCCAGGGTGCTGTCAGGCCACGTCATCCGCAGGCTGTTTCTGCTGTGATAAGCATACAATCGCGGTACATGTTTGTAGAGCAACAAGGAGAGAAGAGGGGTCATATAAATAGTACTACTTCCAGTAAATTGTGATACTATGCTTACTAGAGAACTTGGAAAAATAACCTTTGACAACATGGACCAGCTACAGACACCGAGAGCACAGACAATTGGAGATTACGGTTTGCCTGTCGAAGAGCTAGATATCTCGAGGGTACTTTGAGATGGAGGACTAAACAAGATCTTCTCCGGATCAACAGTGACAGCATCTTCAGTGGTATTGCCGTTCACACTCGATTCGCCAGTGGTATCACCAAAGTGGATAGCAGATATGGTTGCCACAGTACTCTTGGAGAATGCACGTCCGCTCGCAACTCGAAGGATGATCAGTACTGGAGCTATACACTGATAAGATACAATTAGCATGACAAATGGAGAAGCATTCCTTGAGACCTCATACCATGACCTGCCCCAGGATTGGCAGCATGATGTACTGGAAGCTACTGCTCCTGGCGTAACTTATGACATACACTAGTCCAGTAACCGAGTAGAGGGCAGCGGACTCTATTATGGTCGCAAGGACAGAGTCATACGGTGTGGTATAATCATTCTGGAGAACAGTCTTGAGCTCCTTCCGCACAGCAATGATACGGCCTGCAATCATCAGCGTTATAATGACATTCAGTGCAATGGATATCGACCAGTAAGGGACACCGAAGTTGAAGGCTACTGTGGTTGATAAGTTGCTGTTAGGCTGTGCCGCTTCGTAAGCTGTTATAATGGAGAGGGCTATGACATATATATACATTAGGCAGCGGATAAGTGGCTAGCAGCCGGCTCTGCTCTCTGCTCACCAGTTGATGCCAGGAAGACCAAAGTCGGAAAAATAACCACGTAATAGTTATAGCTCCAGAAGATCCAGATTCGGTATATCTGCATTGTCCAGCAGTTGTAAGTACTGAAACTCAGACGGCGGAGTCACATACCAACAGACCATCGGCAAGGAAGTTGTTTATCACATAGGCAACATTGCTGACCGTGTTGATCCACGCAGAAAATACCATTTGGATATACATTGCCGGTCCCCCGGGAAAATTGCGATTGTCAATCCACGTCATTTGCATGAATTTGATGGAAGCGCCGACTTGGACTGTCGCGACGACAAACAGGAGGGAGACGTACACCAGCCAGCGCAAGTTGCTCTTCGGAGAGGAACGGCGGTCCAGAAGGATGAATGCACATTTGAAGAACAGAAGTGCATGAACAGCTGAAAAGCGAGCCAGTTTAGTTTGATGCGATGGTTAGCTAGTCAACTGAACCGGCACCGTATGTCATCGCGCCGAGGTACCCTCCAACGAAGTTGGCGCGTTCCAACCATAGCTCGGCGGAACTCTCTTGCGGCGAGTAAGACATGTTGAGCGGAGGGTGTCCGATGTGTCTCCGCCTCTTGCCACTGGCTCTTAGGGCGGGGAGGAGAGAGAACTAAAGGTGTTCGCCAGGGCCCCGAGGCCCATATCAATGACCTATAGACGCCTACCTGGATGTATGAGACATTCTGTCCACATGACACATCAAGAATATACACCGAATCAACACCCACGGCCTGAGAGAATAATCAACAATCCTGATGTATTCCCTGTGTAGAAATGTAAATACCCCTGTAGGTGCGCATAATTCCAGGCTGTCTCGGAAGATCTATGTGATCTGCGCGCGCGCGGAAGGGGTGAACCCGGCGGCCACTATAGTGATAAGATGTGGAGGTCACGTCCCCATGCGTTGACTTGGCGAGATAACACCTACCTCAGACTCGTGTCCAATCGACGCCCCCACGAGACAAGATGCACGAATATACCTGGCATTGCCTGCATGGTCTTCGATGTGTCATCATAGCCCTATAAATGATATCAGCAGCTTCATCGCAAATGTACCAGTTTGCTGGTGTCAATCAAGCGACTATGGTTGCCTTTTCCGCTGGTATAATCACCGCGATCCAACAAGACCGACCATTCCGGAGAATCAAAAAGACCCCGTGCTATCAAGAAATCAGCAAGCTCCGAGTAGGGACACAAGTCTTCTTGTTACATCGAATTTGGCTGATCTGACAACGGGTTAGCAACCATCCGGTCAGACTCAGAAAAAAGAGCAGTCAATGTTATAGCCTGACCAGCTCACCGAGAGTATATAAAATAGACAGGGTCCAACATACCATTTCGACAGTTTCGACCATGAAATACACCACTAGCATTATCCTCATTTTCTTTGCACTGCTATCATGCAGTAATGCTCTGGTGGCCCAGAGTGAGAGTAAGGTTTTCATCGAGAAAGCTTCACAACATGCTGATATTAGAGACTATACAGATCACTTCCAAACTCGAAATCAAGTAGGTGGCCTTGAGGCAAGAGGAGAGAGCGAGGAAGCATGTGAGCTGACCGAGACTTCACACACGCTGCCATAGACCCTGATCACCCACATATATGTAGCCCCCGTTATTGACGCAGCGAACTGGTTCCTAATACCTAACGCTCACCCGCGAACGTGAACCACGAGCTTGCTCTTGGGGCTTCCAGTTGCCAGAACCGTCTCCGTCCTAGTAGTAGAGTAGAGTAACGATTCTGTACTCGAGATCAGTGCATATTCTATCGTTCCAATGCGTTTCGGCAGGCCACGTCCATGATCCATGGTCCAAGTCGGCGTGTCGAGCAGCCATGGAGCTCTGCTTTGATTCTCCGTGCCTTCAAGTCCGATCGGACCCAAGAATCAAACGAGATCGCGTCAAGATCGCGTTAGCGTCGGTGGCACGATTGCCACCGAAATGCACATTCAGCGAACACGTCTGTCTGTGCAACGACGATGGGTCCAATCGAGAAGCTTGAAGAGCAGAAGTCACCATTCATAGTATTTGGATACGGCTCCCTGATCTTCAAAGTAAGTCCCTCATATGAATTGTCGTAGACGAGTGGCAGGACTGACTCACTTCCGGAGTCGGTAGCCTCCCCCGCATGTCATTTCGGAAGGTTTATCGTGTACATTTTGTGCCGTTGACCTTAACCTAACCTAAATTCCACCCTAGTTCCCGGATTCCTGAAGGGCTATGTACGACGCTTTGCCCAAGCATCGCATGATCACCGAGGCACGCCAGAGGTAGCTTGAGTCTCTTTTGTGGTTGTAGGATTCATTTCACTCAGATTGTGATGTAACAGAATCCAGGACGCGTCGTCACACTCATACACAAGGAAGAGTGGGATTCATTTTCTGCCGCGGTATGTGGAACGCCCTTTGACCACAGGAACTCAAACCATTGTGTACCAGGACGCCTTCCCCGACGACGACGTCGTATGGGGTGCGTCATATGCTTCTCATTCACTTAAACCTACCTCCTCACGCATAACTCAAATCTAGGTATAGCGTACGAGATTGACCCCCAGTACGAAGCGGAAGTTAGAGACTATCTTGGTACAGTCATATCTTAAAACAAGCACCATGCGCTGTGACCTGGGGACTCTCGCTATGACTAGATTATCGGGAGAAGGTACTCAGCCCTCTCTTCTTGCACATCTTTCTTTGAACTGAAGGTTTGGTATCCCAGGATGGATACACGATGGAGAAGATCGACATCTACGGCTACGAACACGGCGAAGAGAAAGTCGTCATCCACGGGGTAAGCCTGCTGTTCCAGACTTTGTGTGTCTTCCCAGTTGACCCATACGTCTTCTCCTCAGGCATATGTACGCTGTCCGACTATGCGCCCACGTATGGGCTAACCCACCATTCACCCGCAGTGCTACGTCGGGAAATCTGACAATCCATCTTTCAGTACGTCCGCATAGTCTAAGATTCGAACTCACCTTTCGTACTCACCACTGCATCAGTCGGCTCCGAGCCCATTGACCAGCTCTCCGAAATAATCTGGCGTTCAGTCGGCCCCTCGGGCCCAAACAAGGTCGGATTGGCTTCGTGCTGGCGAACAGCTTGATGACCAATCCATCACAGGAGTACGTGTACCGCCTAGCAGAGGCAGTACGATCGCTGGCACCTGAGTCGCACGACTCGCATTTGTTCGCCCTTGAGGTGGCTATATATCTCACTTGCTGTACCGCACCTGACTGATATGACCTACAGACTCGCCTGAAGGAGCTAGACGCAGAGCGACTGGGTATCCCGTCAGAGGTAGTTCCGCACCCGCCAATCCCCGCGCGAAAGCCTGCAGAACACCCGGTAGCATCCAACGGCGGAACTGAAGCAGCCGCCCCAGACGATGACGGAGGGCTGACAAGACACTGACAGAAGTCAGTGCCTCTCAAACAACCACAAACGTAGAATGAATTATTGCACTATTATAAAAGAGATGCACACTAGAAATTTGACAACCAGAAGGTGAAAGCGGAAAATGCAATGCTTATGTATGCCGAGTCCAACATGAATAGAATAGAATAGTCCATGCCGTTTTCTTCACCTTCCCTTCAACGTTATTGCTTCGGGCTCTCCGCATGGGGCGTCGGTGGCCGAGTGCTCGTCCCGCCATACAGCCGCTGCGGAACCGCGCTGAGCAGCCCGCCGCCCGCCGTGCCGTTGGGCGGACTGCCGGGATCAAGCAGAGGGGTACGTTCGCCGTCGACTATAGAGGGCGGGATGGATGATGCGACGCGTTCACGCTCGACAATTCTATGGACGATCCTGAGTGAGCAATGTGATATGTAGGTACCAGGAGAGATATGATACGCACCCCCGCATGATAGCAGCGGTAGTCATCCGCTTCGCGCGATGTTTGCTCCTGTTGTCTTGGTATTGATCCGTCTCGTCGACGATTTCCTCTGTGATGATTTCCTGTAAATTGTCGGAATCAGCTGTCAATACGAGAAGCAAATACCACAAGGAGCGAACCTCAATGATATCTGACGGCAAGAATAACGAAGTCGAAATTAGCCACAAATCATTCAGAGCTCGTGCCCTTGAGGAACATCACCTTCAAGCGTAATGACACCTATCGCACCGCCTGGAACACCAGGCGTCTTACTGATGAGCAACAGGTGCGCACGTCCGGTCTGGCTGCGAACAACAGTTACTACCATGCCCTCTGCTTAGTGAGGACAAAGCATAGGACGCACAAATAATCCAGAGCCTGGAAGCAGTTAATAGATGGATGGGCCTCGGGCAGGATTGAGAGCTTGAAGTTCGACACGGGCTGAGCCGTTGCCGGGTCGTATTTAAGTAGCTGAACATGGGGTCAGAGCAAAACCCGTTTCATTCATTGACTTCTCAGCAGAGGCGGAAAAGATATGCAGTCACCTTTTTGATCAGGAGTAGGCCGACGAAGTGCAGCGGCTGCCCTGGTTTATGCACCGGGAACCGGGAGTACCCACTTGTGAGCCTGTGCTCGCCGTCAGCAATGAGGTGAGCCCAAGGCAGGCACGAGTGCACCACGTACAGCACATCAATCATCTTGTGGTCCAGTATCGTATCCGAGCTGAGGGTCACCACGTCCTATGATATTCAATGCCAGCAGTCAGTGCGCTGTACGCATGTCAGCACGTAGCCATATACCTTCATCGGCGTCATGATCTCCTCCACGTTCTTCGTATTCAACTCCAGAACACCATTCAGTATACTAATCTCGTCGTCGCGCAGGGGCTCCTCCCCGGTGCGGTGGAATTGCAGGAAGGACTTAAGCTCGGCCTTCTTATACGTGTGCGCCTCATTGGCGCCGAGAACGTAGTCCAGGAGCTTCGCGATGGGGTACGCGACGGGTGCTGGGTAGATTCAGTCAATGTGAGTGGGCGAGAGGAGAGGGGAGGAACGCTGACCGAACAGGTACATCATGGCTAAGACTACTGGCGCGCATTTTGCGCCTATTGAGAGGCCGTAGCGGACACTGACGGCCTGTGGGATGATCCTGGCGTGATAAGCGTGAGTACCAAAGAGGAGATAACGCACAGAGCAGACTCACTCGCTGTAGACGGTATCAGTGATCAAGGTGTGTCATGCTTGTAAGTCCCTGGCAGACGGTTCGCTGGACGGCTCACGTACCCGAATATAACTGTTTTCTATGAGGAAGAGCTGCGTTTGGAGGGCAGGAGTTCACGTACCGATCATGGTGGTCGATGCAATGACAGCATACAAACCTCCACCAAGCTGGATAGCGTTAGGTTGGCACAGGCAGGAGGCTCAGACAGGGACGTACAGCACTGTCCAGGAAGATCGGCAAACTCTCGTTTACAATCTGGACACGAGATTAGGGATACGGGTGTGAATAAAAATACGCTTCCCCACGTACCACATTACCGAGCAGGAGAACCTTGGATAATGCTGGTGAGCCCTGACACGCCACACTCTTTCAAAAGGGTCTCCACTTACGACTAAGACCCAGTGGCGACCTTTGCCGAGAAGTTTCAATACTTGTAGTAGTAGATGGATTGACTATCAGTGACGGACGGTTAATCCCGCTCTATGTCCGCAGTTCACCTTTATTCGCGTTCGCTCTCTCGGTAGGGTCATCCGAGGAGGTAGACAGAACGCGCAAGTGGAGTTCATCGAGCCCCATAAGACCCAAAGTCAATCTGCCGGTATGCATTCATTCATTCTTCCGAGCCTTCACTCAAAAGCGCGCACTTACCCCGCAAACACGCCTCCCGCTAGCACCAACGCGATGCTAATAGCCAGCTTGTACCAGAATGTAGCTGATCCGGGCGGTTCATGGTGTTCCTCCTCGCCTCCGGTAACTGGAGATGCGTAAACAAGCTTTAGACAGATGAAAAATAATGCTCGCAGCATCTGAAATCGGAAACGAGCCTGCAAAGTGCTCATGAACGCGGTAGAGGCTGCGAAACCGAGTAACAGAACGGTCGTGGCGTCGGCGGTGACGCGAATTAGCCCCTATTTGCCTCTTCCATATCTGTTCGCGCTGATATACCAGTTTGATTTGACAGTAAACGTTGGGGACGTCTATCCTTGCATGTTGTGCAGGGCGTCTCGCTCTTTCTCAGTTTGCAGATTCACTCGTAACTACTGGGCTACATCTGGTGCGAGAGGTTCAAGAATGGCGGAACTTGCTGCACAGGCTCGATCAAGACCACGATCCGACCGCGAAAACTCACTGGAACCAGCGGGGAAGAAACCGCGTCTGGATGAGGACAAGGACATCCCAGTAGAGCTGCCAGAGGTGCAGAATGCTCACCCCGAACCTCCGAAGAAATTGAGCAAAAAACAACGAGGCAAGGAGAAACGGAAAAACAAGCGGAAACACACTCTGCCAGAGCCATACTCGCCCGACGACGTCCTCTGGCGAGACGTCGTAGCCCTGCTCGGGAAGGAACCCGTGGATGATATACTGGAGGCGGAGACGGAGTGGGACTCGCCATTTGAGTTCCAAGAGGAGGTTGAGCTGGTCGTATCCAGTCTGTCTTCAAATGGTACGCACCAGCCATTCTTCGGCATGGATCTTGTTGCCTATGCGTCTCCTTGTGTAGTGCGACACATCGTCTTCCGGAGAGCCGGACAATCGACGCGTCGGTAGGTCGTCTTGGAGATATATCGGTCTCGCAGATGATCCTACCGTCGCGGCGGTGGCTCCAGTCGAAGGTCGTATTCAGGTCGTACACCGGCATATGCTTCCGGCCTATCATGCCACTTCGTTTTACAAAATCCCTGAAAGCTTCATAATAATCTTCTCGCTGACGTCCTCTCAGGCGAATCCCTATCCATCGCTCCCTCACCCAAACCCCCATGGGTAGTCGTAACCCCCTTCGCCCTCCCCGGCGAACACATCCGCGCACGCATATACCGCAACTCTCGCCTTCACTCCTTCGCCGATCTTGTCGCCGTGCTCACGCCCAACCCCGAGCTGCGCGACATGGGCCGCGTGCAGTGTCGGTACTTCGGCGAGTGCGCGGGGTGTCAGTATCAGGTATTCTCTGTCTTTCCTCTTTGCCGAGAATGCAAGTTTGAATATGGGGTGGATGGTGGTGATGTAGATGTTGTCGTACGAGATGCAGCTGGACCTGAAGCGGAACGTGGTCGTAAAGGCGTACCAGAACTTCTCCGGTACGTCTGCACCACGTCCTTCCCGCTTCCCTTCATTGCTGAGCTGTCCCAGGCCTCGACCCCTCCTCTGTTCCTCCCATCCTGCCGACCATCGCCTCCCCCCTGCAATACGGTTATCGCACGAAAATCACCCCGCACTTCGAGGCCCCTCCGAAAAAGCTGCAAAAACAGTGGCAGGAGAACGGTAACCAGGCCGAGTCGGCTGAAAAGCCGGATTGGTTGAAGATTGGGTTCAATAAGATTGGGACGAGGAAGACGATTGATATCGAGGTACGTTTGGCTTGTGACTCGAAGATGGTGGGCAGGCTGTTGAATGGACATGGAAGGAGTGCCCGATTGCTACGCCTGTCTTGAACCAGGCGCTGGGTCCGCTGAGGGAAGGAATCATCAAGTGAGGATTACTCTGTCATTATCACGCGTCTATTGTTTATTCCTCACGAACCATAGAAACATCTACTCCTACAAAAAGGGCGTATCACTGCTCCTACGCGATTCTCTAGAAGTGAATCCCGATGCGTCGTCAAATTCAGAAGTCGACGCCCTCGCAGAGTCGATAGAAAAGCACGTCTGCATCACGAACCACAAGGCGACCGTCCGCGAGCGGGTGGGGGACAAGATCTTCGAGTACCCCGGTGGCTCTTTCTTCCAGAACAACAACTCCGTGCTCGTCCCGCTGACCACCTATGTGCGAGACGCCATCTTCCCTGCCGCTTCGCTATCTTCAGCGCCCGAGAAGCCGACGCACCTGGTCGACGCATACTGTGGCAGCGGCCTCTTCGCCATCACGCTCTCTGACCACTTCGCCAAGGTCGCAGGCATCGAGCTCTCCGCCGACTCCATCCGCTCCGCCACGCGCAACGCGCAGCTGAACGGCATCCCCGCGGACAAGATCACCTTCCGCGCGGGCGATGCCGCCGACATCTTCGCGTCCGTGCAGGACTTCCCGCCCGAACACACAGTGGTGGTCATCGACCCGCCGCGCAAGGGCACGGACGAGAAGTTCGTCGACCAGCTGATGCAGTTCGGCGGCGCGGCGGTCGTGTATGTGAGCTGCAATGTGCATACGCAGGCGAGGGATGTGGGCATGATTTTGGGGAAGAGGACGAAAGGGGGAGGGAGGTATGTGCTTGAGAGCTTGAGGGGGTTTGATTTGTTCCCGCAGACGGCACATGTGGAGAGCGTCGCAGTGTTGCGTCTGGTAGATACAACTTCTGAATCTGGCTAAGATGTACGAGCATCCCCATCCCAATGTTTCCTTCATTACCTCCATTGGCGTGTCTTCAGGTACGAGGTGAGGCACTAATCCTAACCCTGCCGCAAACATGTACGACTGGTCCGTGCGCCTTTCCTGTCGTATATAACAAACGCAAAGCCCTTCGCTGTTCCTTTATCTCTTGTGCTCGGGCATGTACTGTCGCCAGTGAGGTCCTTACCGAGGCACAGTCTTTTGCTGATTGCAAATTACACATCCGAACACGTCCTTTGGCTTCGGCCTCAGGCAATTTTTGGAAAACCTTCCCTTTGAGCACCCTGTTTTCCTGTGATCTGCGACCTTGCAGTGAGGAGACGTGTTGTAGCTATATATACTCGTTGCAATGAAAATGAATGTCACACTTTATCCTATATGTTAATATGTTGTAAGGTTGTAAGTTCTGCCATATGAAACACGTCTGAATTCAGATGTGTCGGAGTCCGGCCCTGGTGAGGATGTCGCCCCTGGAAGATCAAGTAAGGTAGGAGGACCACGTCCATACAATTTGTGTTGGATATATGCAGTTACTACCGAGTGGGATGCTCAGAATGAATATCTTGAGCCTATAATCAGAGTCGTAGCAATCTCTTTGAAGTGGCCTGAGATATGATCCAGCCCACCAAAATGCCTGGATTGCTGCAATTGGTCCACAGGAGGTCAAGCTTTCAAGCTTCGTAGGGGAAATGCGTCTCATTAGTCGTTATTATCCAGTACATGCGTGTCAAGATGCAAAGAGAAAGTGATTGCGTACATAAGTAACGTGGTCATGAAGATGAATCAGAAAACAGTAATGAATGACTGAATACCGCAAGCCCAAGTCCCTCAGAATCTACGAGCACCTCCCACCAAACCCTCTATTGAGTGGTGCTCCAAGTCATTCCTCGCCTTCAGGATTGCAGCGTGCATCTCCTTCATGGCGTTGCCTAGCTTGACGCCGAAGCGGTTCATGATATCCCTTTGCCAGGCGTCGTACTTGGCATTGACACGGGCCTGGACCTGCTCGTAGTCGATGACGCACACCCCGAAAGATTTCTGGGTTTCGGACGTGTCGAACGTTGACCGGGCTTTCTTGATCTCCGTAAGTAATTGCTGCCAATGTGCTAGTGAGTCGCCCAGGCGGTTGAATACGTATTCCGCTTCCAGATCCCATAGCGACTGGAATTGCAACCATTTGCCGACGTAGTCTTTAAGCTGCTGCACCTTGTTTTCGATCAGAGCGAACGGCCGCTCAAGCGTGTTATCGGGGAAATGGGTCAACTGCACCGCCGAATTTCAGCTCGTTCTCACATCAGGAAGCGTACGGGTGCACTCACTAATGACGTATATGTAGTATCGGAGACTGTCGTACCTTGCATTTGCAGACCGATCTCATATCTTGAGCTCTGTATCCGCTTGAGCCGACAGACGACGCCCAGCCAGTCGTGCAGTTGTCGGATCCACGTCTTGCGGGCATGCTCTATTGGCGGATCAAGGAAGATAACTTGGTTTTGTATCCGGATCTCATGCACGATGGGTTTCAAGGTCACAGTGCCCTCCACGGTCTGTAATCGTTGTTAAATGTGATCACGGAAATACGATGCGGACAACTGACCTTTTCCTCCTTTCGCTTCTCTGCTCGCCGTTTGTTCGTGATATCCCGAAGAGCCAGAGGTTCTCGCCGATCGCCATCATCAGTGCGGTCGAACTCAGTACACCAGAGCTGGATGATGTGCATGAGCCGCTGCAAGAGGATTCCTTCTATCCGCTTGTCTAGCTCAGCCACCCAGTGCTCAAGGTTAGCGTATCCTTCCAAGTTCAGTCGGTCGATCTAGATGCCACACGTCAGTATGCAGATCACGCTAGCATGGCGGAGAAGACATACAGCGGCTTGGATCTTGGTGAGCAGTTCTGTGAATGCCTCGCTAGTATACGGACATGTTGCCAGGTCGTCGATGGCTCGTGAGATATCCTTGTATAAGTCGATCACACTATTCGTCTTGTCCTACAATAGTATCATCCGTGAGCTTCTGCCCGTACAACAAGAGTGTATACTTACCTGAAGAATCGAGACGACACTGGCGACCTCTCGAACAAACTGGATATGTCGATTGTCTCCTCGGCTATCCGCACTGGAGACGTATCTCGGAGTGTCGTATTGGTTGACAAAGTAATCCCACCGGATATTCATGCCTGCCTAGGGAGTGAGCAGCTGCTGAAGGTCACAAAATGAGAGCAGCGTACCTTTCGCGACCATACGCTGAGCCTCATTCCTGTACTCAGCAACCAGCCACTCGATGCCCTTGTTATTCTCCACAAGGTCGAGTGTCTGCCCGTACGTGCGCACGGTCTCCATAAGACTAACAGCATGCGGGTATACCCTCTTCGCGTCCTTGGCCATGTTCGTGATGGCATGGGGGACCTGGAAGTTTAGCCACAAGAGATTCCGCACTTCCTTGAACAGCGTGATAATTTGCGGGTCGAAATTTACCGCAAGCTGAAAGCCGCCCCCACGTAACCGGACGATCTCAAACAGCCGTCCATTCACGCCCATGTCGCGACGATTGATGTCGTGCAGCCATGCCTCGTATACCGGCCGAGTGTCGAGCTTCTTCCGGAACGCGGCACTTTCAGACTGGAGCTTTTGGCCCTCGGCATAGAGCTCCCATCCCTTGCCCAGCACGTCCTCTACCCGCTTCATATACGTTAGTAATTGACGTTCAATTTGGCGCGCCCAGATTATTGCGCCTGCTATTGGTGGTAGGTCGCGCATCTGTGACATATGGTAGGCTTCCGAAAACCGGTATTGAGTTTTAAACTACGAAGAAATTGAGTACGTATCCATTAGCATTAGAGGTTGCGAAAGTACCTTCTCATGGAGCCGCTTGATATCTTCCTTGACGGAATCGATCAGCTGGGTCTGGTACTCCTGAATAGCTCCTCGAATCTGTATGAACAAACGCGTAAATACAAGAACAGCTGTATCGAACATTGTAATTTTACCTTTGGCCGGACGAAGAGAGCGTTGAACTTGGAGAACACGCGGAACATCTCGTTGGCGTTACGGGCAGTACCCAGTCTGTCCCGCAGCCGAGCGATAATCTGGTTCTCCACCCGCGCGACCCGCTCGTTATATGCGTTCTCAGCAGCGACCCAGATCTCGGTGCCCTCTGCGCATACAGTTAGTTAACGCAAGACGTGACATCCCGTCGCTACGACTTACCAGTAGAAACATCGAGGACGTCGATCCGCTTCATCACCTCATAAGCCTCCTTCACCTCCTCCTCCATATCCATCCCGCCAACCTCCATCCCACCAAGCCCCTTCGTCGGCCCCGTCATGACTGCCAGCTGCTCATGCTGCTTCCTCCACTCCCTCAAGTACCGCACCCTCTCCTGCAGCTTCGCGTGCGCGGGCACGACCTTAATAGGAATGAACTTTTCGCTCCGCTTCCTCGTCACCTCCCGCGCGACATTCGTGAACTCTTTGATCAAATCGTCCCATGTCCTGAAGATGTTCATCGTCTGCGCGAGCAGGCGCTCGAATGTGTCGTACGGCTGGAAGGGGAGGCGGTGCGAGGTGAGCACGCGCAGGAGCTGGTCGTTGAAGTCGCGCGAGATGGCCTCGACTAGGGGCAGGGCGCGCCGGATCGGGTAGGGCGAGAGCTTGAGCTTGCGGTTGATGTGCCCGAAGATGAGCACGAGGGACTCCTGGATCTTGTCAAGGTCGGTGGCGGAGAGGAGCTCGTTCAGGGGGAAGTCCTTCATGAGCTGGTTGTATTTGTGCACTGTACCGACGAATAAATGACATAGCAAGCAGGGACGGGTAACGAGTCACTCACCGATGTCGGTTGCGTCTTTCAAGCCCGTATCCGCGATGAAACTAACGGTGGCATGGAATCGCTTCGCATTTCGTAGACAGTCCATAACCATGTTAACCTCTTCGCTCCGTAACTGCGCCTCGATACCCTCCAGGGCGCGCTCCAAGCTTAGCCAGAAGTTGATTTCTTGCGACGCCGTCCCAGAGGAGACGTCTCTCGTCAACTTCGTGACCGCCTGGATAGACTTGATCCACGAGTTGACGTGCGCATGCAAGGTATTGAGGAAGGTACTGTCGTTGAGGAGTTTCGGCGGGATATGCGAGATGTTCGGGCGGACGCCGGCGGCGTGCGCCTGCTCGACGGCTTTCTGGATGACTGGATGGATGATAAGATGGGTCTCGGGGATCTCCACGTTCTGCTGGAGATGGAGGAGGGACAGCTCGAGCTCCGCGAATTTCTTCTTCGTCATCGGTATGCCTGCGATCTCATATAGAGTGATATTTGACAAAATAACGACCGTACTCACCCATTTTGCTGTCACCCTCCTTTCCGCCTCCCCGCGCACCCACGAACGCGTCAAACCAGGACTTGACGCCATTGCTAATGAGCGCGTGCAGACTCTCGTAAGGGGTGTCCTCGCCGCCGAAAAGATTGAGGATGTGCAACTGTGAGGCGAGAGGGGTGAGGGGGTCTAGTGTCGGTCCACGCTTAATAAGGGAGATAGTCATAACATGGGAGGGGGTATAATTCAATTGCGGGGTGAGCTTGTAGGTATATGTTGGTGGTGCATCGTCTGGAGGAGGTCAAAACTCGCTCCAAAAGCCCCGAACAAGGGCAGACTCACCTTCCACCTCGTCCTTCGTCTTCACAACGTACATCGCGCCCCCTCCCTCCGCCGCGAAACGCGACACCCGCTCGTCAAAGTCGTCATCAAATATCGATTCCAAGTCCTGCGGGCTCGCCGCCATAAGAGGGGGCAGCACGGATAGCATGAACTCGCGGAAGACCGCAGAGTCAAACGCTGGTGCGGGGGCGGCTTCCACTGGCCCGTCGTGGTGCGACGTGCCGTTCGAAGTACCGTTAATGCCATTGATCCCGTTTGCGCCATTGGGCGGCAGGAGGGGCGTAAGGGGCGGCTCGGGAGTAGCCATAACGCGCTCGGGCTGCGTCTGCTGCGTGAATGTCGTCGACGACAGCCCTAGGCGGGTCCTCGATGGCTTCTTCGACGTCCAGGAGAGAAACCGCGGAAGGGTTTTGCGGTAGCTGGAGAAGTAATACTGGTCCGAAGTGTTCGCCATATCGTCAGTACCGGCGCGAGAGCCATTGAGAAACAGAAAGACATACGCCTTAAGCCCGTGCAGGCCTATTTCCGTAATGTAAACGAGGTGTCCGCACGACCTGGTGCTACAGCTCGCAGCCAGACGCGTTGTTGAGGAGAGGGTTAGACGCGCCCAAAATGGGAAATTCCACGTTTCTGCTGCCATCACCTCGCCGCCAATGCCACAGTCATTGAGACTGGAATCTCTGGACGATACGTATAACGACTTGGGATATTTGTTTTGGCAAGGTCGGATGTATGACCCTGTGTTTCAATGATGCTTGCGGCCAGTTCTTGCCTTGTAGTTCACGAAGCTCGACGGCGCAGAAACGGGATGCCTCTTTGCGGTATTTCTTTTACTTCACCTGTCTTGCCTGACTATCTCCTTAATTACAACGGGTTGACTAGACGTCCGGTGAGGACGCAGGGCTGGTCATGCAAGTTATACGTCTTCTTCGTAGAACTGTAACTGACATTCTCTACTAAAGAGCGTTGCCAAATGCCTCACAAGCTTCCGTGGAGAGGATACGCTCGGACGAACACAAGAATGCACGGAACCGCTAAAGTACGCTGCCTGGCCATTGTTGTTCAACCACTGGCAGATTTCTCCGATCGGACGTCTTGGATTCGCAACACTCAAGAATACCCATTGGAATGCCGTGGCTAGCGACTCTGAGTCTCTGACGGATATCTTGAGACGCATCGCCTTGCATGCTCGCCGATCTAATCTGCTCTCTGAATCGAATTCGCTGTATGTCCTGCCATCGGATATCTGCGGAAACATAGCGGGACCGTAACGGATGGTTCTATTTCTCAATGGTATTCAGCATTTTTTGCATCCGTTCTTCAGGCCACCACATTCAGTGCACGAGTCCACCTCCAGGGGGGATGCAGGACTTGTCATGCAAGCCTCCATATCTTCTTGGCACGAGCACGATGTTTACCTAGCGTCCTGTTGCATAAAACTGTCATGAAGGTACTTATGCGCGTCAGACAAACGGAGATGCTATGGACGCGAAGTCCCTGCTTGGAGAGTCCTGCATCGGATCGGATGCCTTGGATTCGCCTCAAGGTACACACATCGGGACCGAGCAAGTAAGCTTCATTCGCAGTGGCGATTGCGGCGACCACGGATATATGCACATCTCGCACACCGTCCTGCGCTGACCCTGACGCTTGAAGAGATGGTCTGTCCAAGAACTGCTCGGGCAGAGGAACATGTCCTACGTCTGATCCAATACCACTGTCCTCGCTATCGCGCAAGTCTAAGGGTCCCGGATCCGCACGTGAAAAGTTCATGTCTTTAGATAGGTATAATGCAATGGGAAGATAACATGATACAATTGCAATGATCAACTACCAAGGTGGCATCCACCGGCGCAAGCCAGGATTCAAAACTATTACGGTCACGTCATTGTCCAATAGAGGTAAGGGTAAGATGCAAAGGAACGCTGACAGGAGCCGATTGAGTGAGTCCGACTGCTCAATACCGATCCGACGGCGGGTATCCGCGACCGCCCATGCCACCCTTCTGGTATAGCTGCTGCCCGCTGACGCCGCCAACGAGGCTCGGGGCGACTCCGCCACCATGGTAGTTGCTGACGGTGTCTTCTTCCGAGTAGTCGAGGCCTGTTGAGAGTAATGGATCTTTGACTTCCCAGACCGCCGCCTTTGAACCGACGGAGAACTCCAGGTCCTCCCGCTAGATGGCAGTCGAGTGAGTCGGGACATGCGACTAGAGCACGGACATCCACATACCGTGATACTATCCCAGTACTTGTAAACCATCATGACACTCAGGAGCATGCACAGCGTGAAGAAGAACAGCCCGTCGATGTAGTGCTTGATCGCGTCGCAGATTGTCACACTGAAGGCGAATAGCAGCACGTTTCCGACAGTGTAGAACGCAGCGCCGAAGATGATATCGCCGAGCGGCCACCGGTCCTCCAGGGTACGGAACACGAGGACCAGCTGCGACACCACGTACACAGCAGCGCAGATGATCGGCCAGAGGATGTAGATGATCCAGAGCCCGATGGGCTTCGAGTAGCTGAACCCGGCGAACCCCTTGAAGGTCGCGATGGAGATGAAGAAGCTGACACCAAAGACCACCAGGCAGGCTATGCGCATGAACTGAGGGACATCAGCCGCGTGGAATACCTCCGAGACAAGTCGATTCTGTGCTCACCCAGAGAGACAAAGGAGTACCATCCTCAGCAAACTGGAATCCCACAAAGCCATTGATGAGGAGACAGCAATACGCTGCCGCGACTAGTCCTGTGTAGATGGCCGCAAACCACTGTGTATGCGGTAAGATGGCTGGAGGAAGGAAGTGTACCATGGACACGCACTGGATAGCTCGAATTCGCGGTAGGGATAATGTTGGAGTCCAAGAACATCGCCAAGAGCTCAATAACAATGTACATGTAGAAGAACATGACAATCTCCTTCCGGCCTACGAGGAATGAGATCTCGCAGTAGGAACCGCACCGGGAGCACACTCACCGACGGCAGTGTATTTGCTTCGAATGTGAAAGATCATTATAGCAGTCATTATTATCGCGACTATGTGGACAAAAGATGTCGCTGCCAGCGAGTGTCAGTAACGACGGTGCGCGCAAAACGCGACTCATCGCGAGCACACATCCAACCCGCAGACCGACGACTCACATGGCTGAAATATGATAGTCCCTCCTACTTCCACATTCCTACTATAACACGACGGCTCAATCCCCTGCGCCGTCCCAACCAGCGAGCAAATGACGAGCGCCGCCGTTTCGCAAATGCTGTCGAAGGAGCCAAACTGGACCCCCATGGTGACAGAAAAAAGAAGGAAGAGATATCAAGAGAATGAAGTGGAGTGATTAGCGGCGCTTGGGAAGGGCAGCACGCCCGCCGTCGAGAGAGATGGAGAGAAGCAGCACGTTGAGGTTGTTGGCAACGATGACGGAGAATGCACCTGCAAGGAGGAGCCTGATTCGGGGGAAATAGACTCGGTCTCAGACGTTCTGGATGGAAGTGGCGTTCCAAATTTCCTCAGGTCTCAAACTTGGACAAACAAGGCCTCAAGCTTCAGGCTGCAAGTCCTCACGATATGCAACCAGTCACTACCCACTGGCTGTTGCACTTGGACCAATGTACAATTTGCCCGCGACTTGGTTCCTGTGCAAGGAGCTGCTGCGGTTTAGGAACATCTGCCGAGTACACATCAGGGTGCAGCGCCTTCACTTGCGGCACACTTGCGGCACTAGTACTGGCAACTGCTTTGTCTACCTTATCACCACCCATCGTATCGGTATGGCCTCCTGGTTATTATGATATGCTCTCGAAGTCAATTTTTTAAGAATTTGTTCGCAAGGATCCAATGCTTCAAGGAGAAAGTACAGGAACAGCACGGCCAAAGCGCTGCTATTTATGTACCTTGCCATCCAGAGGTCTGCTGTGGAATTCTTCTTAGGACATGGCCGTTCGTCGCTGTGCGCTTGAATTAGAAATCTGGAACTTATATCCCAAGATGGTTCCCATACTCCATATTCCACGACTCAATGCCTAAGTTTCTGAAGTTATTAATATCTAGACTAGCCACCTATATGTAAGTGCGTGGCACTCCTCCCATCTGGACAGTATCGTTCCCAGGGAAGATGGAGGCTACTCACAACTAGGTTCCACCTCCGCTGCACCACCGGGCTGTTCTGCCGCCACCGTGCCAGGTCATGATATCAGGCCTTCAGGCGTTAAAGCGTCAACCACAAGCCAAATACAAATATGCGTTGTCCCACGTCGGCGGCCACCATCAGATTCCCTGCCGGTCTCATGAACGGAAATGCGTTCAATTCGGATTGGATCACGGCTGCATCTCCGCACATTGATCGAAGTCGTGAATGTTCAAACTCACCTTCATTATACATTGCATCTGTTGGTGTAATGGGTAGAACGGTGAGTAGTTCTTGAGCAAAGTCGGCTGATGAATCTTTGGTTTCACCCTTGACTATAATAACGTGATCTTTACTCATATGTCAAGAACGTCTTACTATCGCACCCTTGACCTTGGAACGTTTATTCGAATAGCGGGCATCTCTCCGACTCACTGGGTGTCAGCCAACTCAAGTACGGTCGTCACCATACCTTCCCCGAGGATCACTCGAAATCATTGGTGCTCCATCTCTGGTCGCAATCCGTCAGTAGGTCCTCCTTCATTTTTTGTCGAATGGAGACTTCACATCGACTGCATTCCGCTCGGTATAATACATTGCCGTCATCGCGACGCGGTGTACAACGCAAAGTTCCGTCATTATAAAGTGATTCCCTCTAATAGCTTGTCGACATCCTGACCTCGGGCAACACACACGCTCCCCGCGCATGGAAACGCTCAAGTTTCCGTATTCTCGTACCGGAGATGCGACTTTCTAGCATAATTGCAGGTCCATCGAATTCGGCGTAACAGCCGTGTTTCAACTAAGCTCGACATCGGAAAAGGCGGGCACCGACATTCCAGAGCTGCGCTGGCATCTTTATGAGAGTCGCTGGCTCACATCATTCTCTCCCAACGTGAATAAGCTGTGGCCTGATCAGCGACATGGGCATTCTCAGCGAATGGGACCCGCTCTCCGTGCGATGTCGGAGTCCTCGGTGCTCTGCTAATACACCTGGCACGACAACGTTGCCCACCGCACTTTCTCACCTTGGGTTTATGCTGGAGTGTCCGACATTGTGGTATGGTGGACGCTGCGTTCTGTATGTGACTTTCAAGTACGAATGTACGAGATCCCTTCTCAGCTTTCGCATGGGCCGTGACTGGCGGATGCGAAGTACCGGGCGCCTGAACATAGTTAGATTGTGGATATCCCGCTTCTCCTTTATATCCCGCTTCTCCTTTATAAGTATACCTGCATCCACATGGCGTAGTTGTAGATCTTCCAGAATCCAGAAACATCATACGCAGCTATGTACCTTTGTCGTGCGGGTTCGATTCACATACGAATGAGATAATCTCGCAAGATCTCTAAGACGTGACGGATGCACTGACGCTATGTATACAGCGCTTCTGTGTGGCAGTGTGTGCTCGGCTTATGGATATACTGAGCGTGAGTGTCCTATGCCCTCGATAGCACGGCCCTTGCGAACGTCAGTGTAGCAATTCCTTCCGCAGAGTGTATCCCACGCCTCTTCTGCGGTCATCTTTCCGTTTCTCCCGACCGCGTCCGCTATCCACGTTGCGTCGGACCACATTGCGATTGTGGCTTCGTTCGGGTACCGTGTATGTGTCTGGGACGGCGCGGCATTTCCGTGGTCCGTCGTATGCTATAGTGATACCTCCGAGTTACTGGCAGGTAATGATCAGTGCCGTCACTTTACCTAACTAAACTACCTTTCAGTTACATTCGTTTTTGGCAGTCATGGGAGACATTTGGTAAGTGTGCGACGTGTCGGTACGGTGGCGTCAGTGTACGTCTGGGTCAAACTACAGTCCGACAAAACAGGACACCCATGATCCGGAACCTCTCGCGGCGCCTGAATCCTTCACACTGTCATGCTATGTGGGGTGTTCATAATAACAATATGAGACCCAGACCCATCCGATATAGAGGCGCGCTCTACGCTCGTCTGGGATTCAATATTAAGCTATCCGTAGAAGATGGTACATTAAATCTGCCAGAACTGCCAGATCGGAGCGCCACGACCGACTGGATGAGCCGCAGATCACATCCGACCGTCAAGATCTCAGGACAACCGACGCCAAAAACCTTAAAGGAGCTAGGGTTAGGGTCGACCAGCTAGCCCAAGCAGGACTTACATATTACTCAAGCAATAATGCCAAAAGGGGAGTATCAGTAACTTATCTACCGAATCAGCCGAGGAAATACGAAGCGCAGTGCGGTGCGTCTGTCGAAGGCCGGTATGAACGCAGCGAATCCGGAGAAGACTACTCCCATAGGCAAGTCACCATATGCAAGCAGCTGCTAGTCAGTATCGCCAATCAACCCTGAATCTTCAAACGCTGGTGCATCGATGCATGCTACAGAGATGTGCGGCGTTAAGTAAAGCAACTACGAGCTAGAAACAAGACCAGCCACAAACACCGAAGAGCATCCATCAGGCTTACTTGACTACTCAACTGATCTCGCAGGCAGCCAGGATATCGGTTTCCATTCATACGAAGGGTCGACATCCCAGCCAGGCGATGGAACTCGCATAAATCATGATGCAGGTCTTAGTTGTCTTTACCATTCACCGGACCGGCAACGTACCTTGACCTTATTAGACAGGAGTATCACGCGGGTATATAAGCGGAAGGCCCTAAGGACAAACGCTCCATCTTATCGTGAAATATACGGATAGCGGAGGACTAACAGAAATTGCTGTCGATCGACTGAAGGGAATCCCAGCCGCTCGGAAGAGAAAAGTAAAACTGAACGTACATGCCTGTTCCGCTGCCCTCGTAAGCTTTAACCCCAGGTGAATGAAGCAGCGCCTCCAGGCTGTCCCATTGACTCGAGCCGACGGGAGAGTGAGTCACCTCCGCACGTACGAGAAAACGAAGAAAGCCATTCACCCAGTGATCCAGCCTGAATCAGGAACTGTAACACACATCGCAGCCGCCCAATTCCCCTGGCGCTGCACGTTCTCTCGAACGTCGTCGAAACCCCGACGCTGTCAACGCTTTGACGTCCCCCGCGCTGTTGCCAAGGTGCATCGTGCACGCACCGAAAGGGAGGGGCCAACTGCCCCTGTCGTAACTTCGCCAGCGTACCCGAACAAGCCTAATCCCCAAACCTGGCGGGCTAAGAGAGCATCTTATATACATTAGCCACGAGGAGCTCTCGCCCACTCCTTCTGATTGTATTCCCAACTAGAGACGCACGCTAATAAAGCTTGCCGCTTGCCTGCGGATAGGCAACTCGAGAGAAGCTCCTGCAGCGCCGCGATAAGTAATCACCCCCCTCATACGCACGTCTGTATCGACTCTCGCACGGCGTACTGGTACTCCTCGGAATCGTATTCGCGGCATTGATAATTGGCCAACCGCATTCGTATTGTCCCCTTCAACGCCGAGACGGCGACAGCCAGAATTCTGATCCCCTCCACAACTAGTACTGCAGCGCAGCGGGTAGCCCGTTGCGGATCCCATCCCGCAAATTATTAGACACCAACCGTTCACACCGCACGCGAAGGATCAGAAAGGCAGCGACTAGTATTCATCTGCTGCGAACAGGCGCAATAATTATATCGAATAAAGTTACGCGGACAGTAATAGGCTGTGTGTGGGTAGGTATACGAACCAGCTAGCTAGCGTACTAAGAGTAGTGTATGTATGTACACATCAATATACAGAAATACAATATGGCTTGGATGGATGGATGGATGCGTGATGCTAGTGCGATGCTGATGCGGAAGTGTATTGTGCGGAGAAAGAGTTCTAGGTGAATCGTGAACAGCGGGAGAAGAAAAATTGCTATGCAAGACGAGAAAAATGCGATGCGGACAATGAATGCTACGACAGACCGACCAAGACCCAACGCGGGGACCACAGAAAAAACGAGTCCCGCCGAACGAGAAAGTATTACACGCCAATAATGAACAGTCCAATTGCAAGATGCGTCGTGAAGCGATTAAGGCGGTCGTTACTTGTAGAGCCTCCTTCCCCTCTCGGAAGGCCACTGGAAATACGTGAAGTCGGGCGACGATCGTTCCACATGCTGCTGCTGCTGCTGTGGGCGGGGCGGGCGGTACTGGAGGAGCTGCGTGGGGGGCTGGAGGTACGTATGTTCCGGGGGCGTGTACAGCTGCACGCCGGGCGGGCCTGCATTCGCAAACGGCGCCGCGGGCACACCAGGGCTGTCGGTGTCCGAGAACTCCGACCGGTATCCCTGCTCTTCGACCGGGGACAGTGCCTGCTCGTACTGAGGGAGCTGCGCAGGCGACCGCGAACTCGAGTGCGCGTGCGCCAGCGAGTCGTAGTTGGGCTCGCTCGCGCGGCGCCACGCATACACGTCGGTGGGGCCCTCATACCGTTTCAGCTGGGGCGGCGGCGGGAGCGGCATCTCCGACATGGACATGTTCGGGCTCGTCGACGCGCTCTGCACCACCATCGGTATCCTCGGTCCTTCATACCCGCCATACGCATGCGATGAATACTGGTAACCCGAGTACGCGGTTGGCGGCTGCTGCGGGCAGGAGGCCAGCTCGGAGGTGGAGTAGTACGAGTCGTGCGTGGGCCCGGGGGCGTGGTGCACGCGCAATTTGGCCTTGCGGCATCGCACGTCTGCAGAGTGGTCTTCCTCCGTCGGAGAGCAGGCGAGCGAGTAGTAGTACAGGTTCTGGAACGAGAAAACATCAGTACTCCTGTGAGACGTGGGTATATGCGCGCCAACGTACCTGAGGAACCGCTTCCTGTCTGCTGGAATCTGCTCGGTATGGAGCGGCCAACGTCCGCGGCTGCTCTCTTTTCGGCAACGAGGACGACCCCGGCGTGCCGGCTCCGTCCCCGCCCAAGCTCAAGCTGGAGAAGCCCTGCAGGCTCTCCATGGGGCTCGGAGCCGCGCCGTTCCCGCTGAGCGGGGCCTTGTTCGCGACAGAGCCGGACGAGTGCTCCGGGATCTGGAGGGAGAGCCCGTACATGCTCGCCGGACGCTTGGACGGTCTAGGCGGCCGCAATGATGCGTCGTCGTACGCCTCCGCCGCGTGCGAGAACGCGGTGTTTGCGGAGCGCTTTTCACCGGAATGGGGTGTGGGGGAGACGGGCGAGTCGAGCTGGTCTTTCTCCGGCGACGGGTACGGATGCGACGAGATGGAGCGGGGCGCGGTGGAGGGGAGGGGGGGTAGTGCGAAGGTGAATGCGTGGAAGGGCGCTGCGCGCGACGACTGGACCGGCGAGGTCGACCGCGCGCGATCCCGTCTGCGGGTCCCGTTCTCCTCCTGCCTGCCCCGCGTACTCGGCCTGCACACGCTCGACGGCACCACTCGTCCGATAGCCCTGACGTCCTTGCACCGCCCGCGATGCCACTTCCTCGAGTCCTTCTCTTTCGCCATCACCAGTCCCTTTAGCAGGTTGAGCCAGGATTCGTAGGTCGGCTTGTCTACATATAAGTCGAAGTCGACGCCCATTAAGAACTCGCGTTCCATTTTGTTGATTTCGTTAAGCGATATTGAGGAAATTTCAGACCAAGTCTTATTAGTGTATGTATTACTACATGTGACTTCAGTATCAAACAAAGTCATTGAAGAGCGCAAGACTCACTCGTCAACAAACTTATTAGCCATCATTAAAGCTGCTACCGCCACCCTAAACTCACTCCCCGGCTGCCCATTCGTGAACCGATTCCGCTCTTTGAGACGGTAGATATAGTGTAGCGAGAGCACGATGACGGATTGGCTGACTTGCGTCGTCTCGAGGAGCTTCTGCATAAAGTTCACAAACGCTGGCGACGCGACCAGCTGTAGCGACGCGGTCTGCGGATTACTTTGGGGAATGTAAGGCGGGGAGGCGGTGGAAGGGGAGTGGTCACGTGTCCGCGAAGACCCTAGGGTGGACTTTGACGGAGGCGCAGAGTTGTTCGCAAACCAGAGGTAGCAGATCATCTCGCAAGTCTTTTCGGCTATAAAGTGCGCCGAGCGTTTTGACGACGTGCTGAACCAGTCGACTAGGTGTGGCGCTGGCGAGGGCATGGACGGCTTTGCCTGCTGGTAGTCGTCCATGTCGGACGAGTCTTCTGACGAGTCAGTGCGCTGCAGTCGTGACGAGTTGGCTATAGAAATGTCCTCCATGGGCGGGGGTGTTACTGCGCGCGCCGATCAAGTCAGACATGTATTCACCGTAGTCAATGTCTCGTATGACTTACAAGGAGAAACACGCGCCATGTGGCGGTCAAGTTGTGATATTGGCGGCAAGACTGTTACCTGTGGCCTGTCCGCTCTCCGCGAGGGCACAGAGAGCGGCGGGGTGAGCGGCATTTCGTGTTTTGGCTGGCGCCATGTCGACCAGGTGGCGGAGGCTGCAAGCAGCTCTGTGGGGAGGAGGGTGGATGAATTACGGTGCATTGCATACGCGGACGGTGTGTGCGGGAGGGACGGCGGTGTATATAGGGCCATGGTATGGCCTGGCGGGACTTAGCGTAGAAAATACGAAAGCTTTGACGTTACGAGAGAGCGGGCCATGGCGTAGTACGGAAGGGATGTATTTAATCATGTCGGTGAACAACAGAAAACGGCAGAAAAGAGGGAGCATTTTTCCGGATAGAGATCCCGCTTAGAGACAAACAGGAGAAGATGGAAAAAGGGTCGACGCTCCGAAAGGGTCGACTCCTCCGAAGCCCAGTTCGCTGCCACAACAAATTTGATCTCCCGTCGACATTTCCAACTTTCATCTCAGATTCTAACCTTTATTCATTTCCTCCCATTTCCCTTTTATTTTTCTGCATGTCACCTCCCCCCGCTGCCGACGCGCTGGCCGAGGTCACCTGACCGGGATTCCCCATAGCCTTTCCCTCCATTTTCGCTGCAAAAGGTAGCTGGACCACTCACGTGCGCTCCCACGGACCATGGCGGACGGGATTAGTTTCGCCTTTATTTTCCAAGGGCTCTTTTCCACTCCTGAATCGCAAGTCCATCTGCTTCCCGTAAAGCCTCCTCGCCGCTCCAAGACGTCCATCCGTTTGATCCCAAAATCATCGGTCAATCGTTTCGTAGCTTCCATTGCCATTTCCGGATCTCCCCTCTCTACCCGGCCCATCCACCATCGGCCCATAACCTCGTTACCGCCCCGTGTGTCTTGCCATACGCTCCCGTTCTCTCCCTTTCTTGACGCTTCTTTTCCTCCCAATAATCCATGTCATCGCCCGCTTTGGCTATGCACCAGCGTATTTCCATCTCCGTCCCGCTTCGCGGGCCTCCCTCCACGTTACTAACCATCCGCCCTCGCTTCCTCGTATGTGGGTCTCAAAGCATGCTATTCACGGCCCTTGTCCAAGTTTGTCCGGCGTGCCTTCGCTTCATTCTTCCATCTCCGCGTAGCAGCACCGTCTCTGCCCATGGCTCTGTGCGGAATGATGATGGTTTTGTTTACATCACCCCCATACTCCCTCGCCCGCTCTCATCAGAAGGATCCCAAGCTATAGCGTACATACACTAGTTTCATTTACTCCTTTGCATCTAGCAACAAACGCGACTAATTCATCCGCCTCCTACGGCATGGTCCTGCCTTGGTGATCAGTCGAGATCACTCCCGCGGCCGATGGACGCCCTGGCCTATACACATTCTCCTGTTCCTCAGAAACCGCTGCCAGGCGCTGCCGGTCCCGGTCCTGCCACACCATAGTATATGTGCCACCACCGTGTGCAACGTACGCACTAATGTTTCCGCTCGGCTACCCGACACCTCGAGTACTCTGCGGCGCATCCCGTCCCCTAACTGACCCTGTTCCATTCCATCAGTCGCCAGCGAGACCCTAGTGTATCACCGTGCACAACGCTCTCCCGCAACTCTCCCGCCTTACACTCGAATCTGATACGTAGCTTTCAGTAATCGATCGTCTCGATACTGCGTGCAGCGATTCCGCTGCGACTCGCATTTTCTCGTGCCACTGGCACATGCCACGTCTCCAATAAATAGTAATGTGAACGCGCGCGATACTATCTATAATGGTAACTTTACGGTAAGCAGGGTGGAGACATCGGTCTGTTTTAGTCCTGCGCAGAGCCAATACAGCAGCGTAGATGTCGACGTGTCATGCCGTAGGTTCCGCGACGTATCTGCGCCGCTCGTATCCCATCGTATCTCAGGATCCTGGCAATTATCCATCGCGTTCGGCGTGCGTCTATCCACAGTGGGTGCCAGCGCATGATTTCATCCGCACCGCGGCCGGAAGATCAGGCGTACCACCTTTCACAGTCCCCACTTTCCGTGCGATTCCCTTCTGAATCTGAACCCTCCGCGGCGGCTTCCTAACAAGCTTTCGACGTTCAACATATTATTACATGTGCTGGTGACTGACTGCTCCAGAGGCTTGGACAGAAGCCTGAAGTTATGGCGTATGTAAGGGTGCGCGAGCCTGGACTAGCAGCACTAGTACTGCTTCCGGATCCGCCTAACTGGACGCTAACAGCGCAGGATGTCCATCCCCCCTTACTCCCCCTGGCAAGCGAAACAAGGGAAGAGCTCAAAACATACGCTTGCTGGATTCTGGATGATTAGATGATCGGGAATAACATGGACACAGGCGAGCAGCGAGTCTGCTGCGGACGAGCATAGGCTCTTCCGGCGTCGGCGTCTGTTCTGGGTAAGCCGGCAGTCATTTGGCGGGAAGATTTCATTTGCACTTGTCAGGTTCCTTTTTCGAGTAGGGGTCTACGACACGTCACGTCACGGGATATGCCTGAAAAAGCTAAAGTCCACCCATATTCGTACTTATCCAAGTCACGAAGACAGCCCGGTCACGGCGATAGAACTGGGCTATGATCTAAGCTTCGTTCATAGGTCAGATGCGATCTGGCCTTACCGGGCCCTGTGCGTGATCGGTCCAGAGGTCAATTGCCAGGCAGCCAGGTTCGCGCTGCGACTCGGTTCGAAACCTGCACACATTCCGATTGGCAGAAGGGCGGCACGGGCTTCTCCAGCGGGAAATACTACAGACACGAAAGTTTCCTTCAGGGTTGGCTTACTTGCAGCTGGAGTAAAGTGGTATCTGCAATGACGCTTGCAGTCCTGTGATGCATCTGAGGTGCATGACAACTCAGCAAATGCCATCCGCGCATATCGTAAGTCCCGCAGAACGCTGGCAGCTCAGCCCAAGACCTCGGAGATCAGCTGTACAGTAGCTTGGACAGATGGGGCAGGGGAATACAAGCTACCTGCTCGCCCTGCACGGATGTTTGATATAACATTCCGAATCCCACTGATCGTAGCCTGCGATCCTCCTCACGCCCGCGGGTCCTGTTGCTGCAATAACCGTCTTTCCAAGTCTAGCCTGTGATAAAATACCCTATCCATATACGGCAGGCGTCATCGCCACCAGCGCGACGGCCGATCGCTTTGGGCTTTCTGCTTTCTCCTGCACTGCCGGGCCGATCGGCGCCAACGCCTAGATCGACAGTTGCGTGTTTGTTGCGTCAAGCAATATTGAGTTGGCTGTTATCAGCCCCAGCCGTCTTCTCATCGAGAAACTGAACGATGGAATACAAATGAGGCAGTGTAACCTTACGCAAGGGTACAGTACACTCTAACGGACGAATACAGTCGCAGAAAGGAACATAGCCCGCGAGTGCAGTGCGGAATTGCCGGTGTATGTCCCAAATGTATACGTACTGCGAAACAGGCTGCAGGTACGCCGACTGCTAACTTGTTATTTGCGTGGTGGCGGATGTGAACGCCCGATGTCACGGCCTCGCAATCACTCGGTGATGAGACCTTTGTTACAATAGTTTCAAAACGATGGGCCTACTCAGAAAAAAAGTAGCATAGGAATATTCGTGTTCCGACTTCCAGAAGGTCTCAGCGGGACCGAGACGTGTACCGTTGCCGAGCAGGACCAGGTCGACTTTAGGAAATCGAGCACAGCAATGCGGGCTTGCACTCGGGGTCCTGGCACCGCGTGATGGAAAGGAGTGACATCCACCTCTAAATATCGAGTTCCTCCTGTGCTAATGCTTGTTGACTTCTATGTGCTCTCTCAGTACACTTCTATTAGGTCTGAGAGTATGGAAAGAGCCTATACACATAGTCTGGTACAGTATATGTGTAATTAGCACCCTTCTCCTTTGTATGAATTGTGCAATACTATATATTACCAAGGTCTGCCTATGGTACAAGTGACAACTCTGCTTTGTTGTTTAAGATCTAGACAAACCATGTAGTCTGGTTCATAGCTCATATACACTCATCATGAAATTGTAGGAGTGGTGGCATGTCAGGATTGAGGTGGCTCTCTAACAACCATCCCGACTTGGAAGGTACATCGGCGAAGTAT